TGTTTCATATGGCAACAAAACTCGAGTTGCACTTCCAAAATGTCTTGTCTGGTGAAGTGTTTCTAACAACTGGTGCAGAAGATGCATGACTGTTTGGTGATACTTGTGAGCCCAAATACCATGGCAAGCTTTTTCCCACAGCAGCAATATTGTTTTAGGCGTTGGTCAAAAACACAAGGTCGTTTCATAAAATCCATTAAATCCATGTAATAATTTACAAGATGTTCTTTTATTGATAGTATATCCATCATATAAACTTTATATGCAAAATTACATGTATAAGGATGTTTAGCTTTTAAACTTCTAAGAAACACCAAAAGACTTATTTTGAAAACAGAAGTGACAAATACAATGTTGTATTTTAACATTCTTTCAAGAACTTTTCACAGCATAGATTTAGTAACGTCTCTTTCTGGAAATTTAAACAATACATTGGTTTAAAATAGACAATCAGTTCGTTAAAATATGGTTTTCAGGAAATTAGAATATATACATTTAACGCTGTTGTTACAGCAGAAACTATATAAGAATACTGAATAATTTGAATAAAATATTGTAATTGGAAATACAATGCAGGTCATATTTGATAACAAAAGTGAATGCGCTGAAATGTCTCGCCTGCTTTACTTATCATGATTTAATTGCGTACTATACACCGACTATAGTTAGACTAATTTTATAGTATCTGAGAAACAGACCTAATTATGAAATTACTGAGAACCATAAAATGAGGTCAAGGTCAGATGATGCCTGCAATACAACATAAATACCATGCAAAATATTCCATACACGGAATATAGTTGACCTATTACTTATAGCATCAGAGAAACATACATAACCATGAAAACTTAACATTTGACTAATGAACCATGAAAATAAGGGCAAGGTCATATGACTCCTGCCTAACAGACATGTTCATCTCACAATCATTCCATATATCAAATATAGTTGCCCTATTGCTTGAAGTTTCAGATAAACGGACAACCCATGCAAACTTAACAATGACCAATGAACCATGAAAAAAGGTCAAGGTTAGATAAAACCTACCAGACAGACATGTAAACCTTGAAATCATTCCTGAAACCAAATACAGCTGATATATTGCTTATAGTATTTGAGAAACAAACCAAACCACAAAAACTTAACACTGACCAATGAACCATGAAAATGAGGTCACGGTCAGATGAGACCTACCAGTCTGACATGTTCACCTTACAATCATTCCACACACCAAATATAGTTGACCTATTGCTTATAGTATCTAAGATACAGAGTACGAAACTGTAACCCTGATCATTGATTCATCAAATGAGGTTTAGGTGAGGTGAACACTGTCTGACATGAAGACATTGCAAGGATCCAATATACCAAACGTAGTCATTTTATGTGAGTGTTTAACATGACAAATTCTAAATTTTGTTCAAGCAGTCATAAGACATACGGACACTTCTATAAAGCTCTATACAAATAATTAACGCAGTCGCCGCCGCCTGATTGTAATCCCTATAGCACGCATTCTGCGACTTTCGTCGCAGACGTGACAATAAATCATGTGTCTCCTGAAGGAAGGAACAAAACATCTTAAAATTATTGGGTTAACAAAATGTTGACATTTACTTGAAAAAACCATGCATGGTTTTAACATGTTTATAATATCATCTCATTTTACACATTCTATTCATAGTTTAATTGTATTTTAGTGTTAATGAGAAATTAAGTCCATGCGCGAAATAGCTTCCGATTTACGAAACATGAACAAATGACCTTTCAATGTTCAAGACGTCGTGCAAAACCTTTCGGAATTTTGGGTCCTGAAAGCTCTTCAACGAGTATCACTGATGAGTCTTTAGTAGATGAAACGCGCGTCTGGCGTACAAAATTTTAATTTTGGTATCTATGATGAGTTTATTTACCTAATCTCTATTAGTTCATGTAGGTCAATTGAAACAAGTCCAGAAACAATTTTGTCCAAATCCATAACAAGAGTGCACACGCTGAAATGTCTCGCCTGCTTTACTGACCATTGATGTTATGTTGATAGTCCTAAATATAAAGCTTTACTACAAGTATCACGTAAACGTAACATGATCAAAGAAAATGAGGTCAAGGTTAGATAAACCAAACCGGAAATACATGTACACCTTACAACCATTCCATACACCAAATATAGTTGACCTATTGCTTATAGTTTCTAATAAACAAACTTAACCAGGAAAACTTAGCATTGACCAATGAACCATACCAGGCAGACATGTACACCTTACAATCAATGTATGCATTAAATATAGTTTACCTATTGCTTATAGTTTCTAAGAAACAAACTTAACCATGAAAACTTAACATTGATCAATGAACCATGAAAATGAGGTCAAGGTCAGTTGATACCTGCCAGACAGACATATACATCTTACAATCATTCCATACACCAAATATAGTTGACCAATTGCTTACAGTTTAAGAAAAACAGACCAAATCACAAAAACTTAACACTGAGCAATGAACAGTGAAAATGAGGTCAAGGTCAAATAAAACCTGCCAGACTGAAATGTACATTGTAAATTATTTCCATACACCAAATATAGTTGACCTATTGCATATAGTATTAAAAAAAAACAGACCAAAACACAAAACTAAACTTTAACCACTGAACCATGAAAATAAGGTCAAGGACAGATGACACCGGCCAGTTGGACATGTACACCTTACAATCATTCCATACACCAAATATAGTAGACCTATTGCTTATAGTATCTGATAAATGGACTTGACCACGAAAACTTAACCTTGTTCACTGATCCATGAAATGAGGTCGAGGTCAGAGGAAAACTGTCTGACAGGCATGAGGACCTTGCAAGGTACGCACATACTAAATATAGTTGTTACTCATAATAAGAGAGAAATTAACATTACAAAAAATCTCAACTTTTTTTTTAAGTAGTCACTGAATCATGAAAATGAGGTCAAAGACAAAGGACATATGATGGACAGAAACTTCATATGTTAAGGCATCTATATACAAAGTATGAAGCATCCAGGTCTTCTACCTTCTGAAATATTAAAGCTTTTAAGTAGTTAGTTAATGCTGTTGTTGCGGCAGCCGCCGCCGCCGGATCACTATCCCTATGTCAAGCTTTCTGCGGCAGAGGTTACAGGCTTGACAAAAATTCAGCTTTATACAATGAACAAATTTAATTTTTGCATCTTGTAATTTTTTATTAGAATCATGTATTTCTAATGACATGATGACCGTGTTTTGTTTTTTTAAATCAGTATATAAATATATTATTATATTATGTTATAATTTACAACAAAAAAAAAACAAGCTATCGAAATAGACTAAAGTGTCTATCAACTTTAATAACATTAATAGTACCAAATTTAGACAATCAATGTCTCCTCAGTCATAATCCAGGACAAAATATTTGAAAATCCCAAACCTAAAGCAAAAGAGCTGTTATCACCGAAAAAAATGTATAGCTTGATATGGATTAGGAACCATAGTTATGCATGAGGGAGATTATTCCTTAATTCTAAATAGTTTTCTCAGATCTATAAAAAAAAGTATAAACAAAAATACCAAACGCTAAGGTAAATTCAAATCGGGGGAAGTCCATAAAAATTGACAAAATCAAACGTTTTACTTTATCAACCAACAGAATGAATGGACCACAACTGTCATATTCCTGACATGATACAGACATTTTATGAAGAAAATGGTGGGTAAAACCTGGTTTTATAGATAGCTAAACCTCCCATTTGTATGGCAGTTGTTCATAGTTCCCATATATTGACAATATTGGGAGAGCCAAACAGACATAATAGGGTAATGTGACAATATTTGGGATCCAGCAGCTAAAACTCTATAAACAGCACATTTTAATAAAACCATTGTCATGCCTTTGGGGATAAACAATATACCAGCTGAGGTATCGACCAAGTTGTAAGCATATCATCAAAGGTACCAATTTTACTGCACCAAATTAATGTCTCTTCAGTGATGTTAGAAGCCAAAATATTAAACCATTAATCAAATAAAGTACTTCAAAATCCTCTATTCCTTTAATAAAGAATTAAACAATGGCATATTTTTGATAAGTTGAGTGTTGATATTAAAATTAGGGGGATTCTTGATTGTTTTACATTGCTGACGCCGACAGAAACAGTATACCCAAGTCTTGTTTTTTCGAGACAAACATTGCCAAAGGTGAGTAACAACATGTAGATTGTTCATATTTGTTTAAGTTAACATTCCTTTTTCTATTTCTATCTGTTCAATAAGGGTTAAATATAACAGGAACTGTAAATTAAAACAGCATTAATTGTACTAGTATAAAAGTGTAAACCCATAGCTCCAAACTAATACCGGATATATGTAAAGTATGTTAAGACATATTCTAATATGACGTGCTTCTTTCACTTTGTTAACAACACTGTGATAAAATTCTCGATATATCTATACTTAGCGCAGACTCAGAGATGTACATAATAATGGCGCATTAAAGTCATTCCAAAATAGGTGAAGGTTTTTCCATTGTGTGAACCCTCCAAATTCGGTTAATATTGCATTAAAATGTAGTTTTTAGGTCGGTGTTGTTTTATTTTCTATTCTATTGCATTATTTGCACATTAACTGATTTCAGTAAGTCGAAATGGTGGCTCCTTCGTTACAAAATGTTAACTGTGGATTTGACGGTAGCTTACGAGAAAAAAATGTAAATCAAAAAATGGCAAATGTTGGGGTTGAGAATTAAAAGAATTAAACACATTTTTTTCTAGCAGTTATTTAAGAAATAATTCATGCAAGCTATAGATTTATTGGAAATTTTTAGCTTTATCTAACCGGAGGTAAAATTGAACAGCCGCACACACGGCATACCCATCCTCGCTTCAGATTTTTGAATGACCGTTTTTAGCTAGCCGGAAAATCCATAGACTGTTACACAACAGATAATCAAACCTGTTCAATACATATTGTACTATGAAGGAAGGAACAAGTTGCATGTATGAAATAGTTTATTCATAGCCATTTCAAATATGTATAATAATATATACATATAAATATATACCATATAATCTTACAAAAAACAATAAAATATAATTATGTAAAGAAAGCATAAACCATAACTCCTAGCATAAAAAAAAACATCCCATGCCTCAAAAAGAAATTGTACTATCAGGAAGATAATCAGATCTAAAACCTGGATAAAATTACCCCATGCAAATCATTTACTGCTTCATTATAATAACTTAAAGGGAGACAATTCATATCAATATTACTTCAAAATTAATGGATTAACTATTTGATCTGACAATATGTTACAATAAACCAATAAAAAATAAACCATACTTTCAGATTAATAATTTGGTGATTGTTACTTAGTCAAGTCCTTTGACTAGGAAAACTGGGTAAAAGTTAGAACTATATGATCTACATTCAAAAAGGAATAACAACAAAACTTGGTTCAGCAATCTATATACCAGGTATAATCAGAAGATTTGTCATATTATTTAAGATAATTGTGCTACAATATAAATACCAGCAAGCAAGCAACTTTTTGACAGCAGAAACAATCTAACTAAAAACTTCATATTTTTAACAGCATTTTTTTCCAAGAATTAAGCCTTTTAACCATGTCATGAAGAGATAAATTACACAATATCTTATTTTACATTTAAAAATAACTTCAATAAAAATATTTCTTAACCTTCCCTATTAATTGTCATGAATGAAAATATCTATGCACCAAATATTCCCCATAACCATCAATATATATCAAATAGTATAAAAATCACAAAGAACTGTTATCAACACATGTAGATAATAACCAGTCACCGTCATAATCTTCTCAAAGGGTGATGATATATTCTACTTTATTACTATGTAGGAAAGATAAGAGTGTTAATGGTGGAGACATTTAAAAATGGGTGTAAACCTGTGGATTTCTATCTGTAAATGAGCAGAAATTATCACAATTGACAAATATATAATTCAAATAAACTCTTAAGTAAAAAAAAAAAATTTATATAAGTAATTAGCACAAATTAAAAATGAATTTATCATAGTTGAAATAGAAGTCACTGTTTTCTTTTAGGTCCCTTATGATCATAAAGATCCTCATGTTTCTAAGTATTTATACATCCCTGGCTTTCAGATGTGTAGGTTTGAGCACTCCTTATGAAAGTCATTCTGAAGCACGAACTTTATAACCTGCTTTTTTCATTATACAACTCAATTTCATGATGCATGTAAGGAAGTTCTTTAGAATGTACTTAAATATGTATTTGATGAAAAAAAAAACCATGAAATTATATTATATGCAAAACTTATATTATCCGGTATGAATATGAAAAAAACTAAGCTTCTTCTGAATGAAGACATTTTTTTTTATCTATAAAAGGTCAATTTGTTTCATTAAAATAGTATTAATTTGTCCTGCTATCAAATAAACTTCTTTTTTTATTCTCACTGGTACAATGTATTATTGACTCTTTCTGCTTAAGTCCAGGATTCTCAAAGAAATCATCCTTTAGTTAATGAAAATGATGAAAAAAAACACTTTATTACTTCGGTGCTTAGAAAGTGCTTTTCTTAATTTAACTTTATCAGTAACACTCAAACCCTAAAATTCTTAAGACAAGGAAGTATAAAACCTGAATACACGGGAGGCTCTAGAACAAAAGAATTTCTATTTTCCTTTTGTTTTTATCTGATTCATTCTTCAAAACAAAAACAGTTCTTCAAATAAAACATGTGTTATCACCAGGCTTTAAATATTAAGGGAGCATCCAAAGATGGCTGTTTAGTATATTTTACTATATTGCTATATACGTTAGTATTACAAGGATTATACAAGTGAACTATATACTTTAATATATAAATATATGTATAATTAACCACAATATATAATGATACCTGAAAGATACTTTTTCACCTTAGAAACTGATAACCAGTTTTTGAGATGTGGCACTTAAGTAATATGTAATAATGGAAAATTAATATCTAAAGAAAAAGATGATAAAATGTAAGGTGTGACACATAAGCAATAAGGATGGAAAAAAAAAAAAAATAAAATAAAAATTAATAAACTGTAAGGCTAGTAATAAAGTTATATGGACAAAATGATGGCACACAAAACCTTCTTTATTACAATAGAACTAATGAGGTGAATAGGTATAAGTGGCTTTTTATTAAAAGTTGGTATTAAAATTTTTGGTTTAATGCCACCATGAAGATGGATAACCTTTTTTCATTGGTTCTAGTTTCATTGCCCTCTCTGAAAAGTATGAAATGTTTGTCATTGGTTTCTAAGCCCCCTCTGAGAAGTATGGACAAATAAAGAGTGAATAAATAAACATATATAATCACACCCCACTGTTGGTCTATCAATAAAAATATTAGTGTTCTGTGAAAGTGTTCACATAATGATTAGAAGCTACAGAAACAAAAGTATTAATATCAGGTCCTATCATATTAAATCTTTTAGTAGTTTGCTACATAAATACATTTGACACACAGATGTTAACAAAACAAATATCAACAAGTTAATAAAATAACAGAATATATGTACATATATTAAAAAAATGTTCCTGATCTCTGTCTTAAATAACATGTGACCATTTGATTTAATTAAATGACTAGCACTTAAGTAAATTATATCAAATGATATTTTCTTAAAAATAATCTTTTCAGTCCTTGAAAATAAGTTTGAAAGGTTCAATGTGGTCAATCAAAACATTTTTAATGCAATAAATGAATGTTTTTACATTACAACTTTCTGAAATGTTCGAACACAAGTTATAAATAAGATAAATCTGATATTATATTAGGAAGTTTTTTAGTCTGCATAAGGTAAGCTTCATATTCATCTAAAAAATCATTAGGTATTCATAAAAGTTTGTTCATATGGCAGCAGTTTGTGAATAAATATTGCTTATTTAATACAAAGACGATTATACTTCACAATGGAAACAGTATGACATCAATTGTATTGCCTTTAAAATACATCAGACTCTAAACATTAAGAAAAATCTTAATGTTTGGGAATGAGGCCTAAAAATGTTGTGAAATCTGTAAGAAAATCACCAAGCTAATAGGCTCTCGATGTCATTACCCATTTTCTTTCATAAACAGGCCTGTTGATACTTGCAAAGATATATAATGACTTTTGATCAGAATCTTCACATTGACTAGTTTTTCAACAATAACAAAAAAAACTTTACCACTTTAATGCTGCCTGTACAAAGCTTGCAAACTATATAATTTTCTCTCAAAATTATCTATTCTATAAGGGGAACTTTTCTAAATAAAAAAAAAAAAAATGCTTTGCCACATGACCATGATATGCTGTCCCTCATTTTTCAACCACTAAAGTGTTGTTTTTTTTCAAGAATAATCTACTGAAAAATTGTACCAAATTTAACAGTTTTTTTTATTAGCTGTATTATTGCATTTAAATGTGATTAGATAAATTGTAAGAAAGCTAGACCTTATGTACAGCACATCGACCATTTTTTATAATCTGATAAAGTCCAATAACTCTGGAACAACAAATCAAAAGAATCATCAAAGTCAAATGGAAGCTAATAATCATTGATAGGACACTGTTTAAACTCCTTCAAAATATATGGCTACAAAATGAAAACTTGCTTTTATAATCACTTGTACGAATAACAAAAAACATATTTACGACTGATAATTCTTGATATTGTAAGTCTGAGACTGCTTGAAACAATGAACTTTACATTTTTTATTAGAATAAGATAAAGCACTTTGACGTAAAGGCACAAATAAAATAGAATTTATAATAAAATACAAAAATATAATGATAGGCAACATATGTTTCAATATCAACAATATCACATTCATAAAAATACATTTGACTTTTTGTGTTCTGGAATGATCTCAAAGTTGCTATACTTTTTCAAGTTTTCAACTGATTCCTTTATGTTAGATTACATGCATATAATTGCAATAATGAATAACCTGCTATGATGTTAGGGTAAGATCTTTGTTACCAAGATTACAGTTTCTATGTCTATAAAAAATACAGACTGTATTGATAATGTCTACTTTCATAATAGATGTATCTATATTGAGTTAAAACATTCCATGAAAAAAAAATAATAACTTATTATCTATGACTTTCAGCCCTCCAGCAGATTGCTGCTGAAAAAATGTTTTTGTAAAATATGTTTTTTTCAAAATTTAACTACGTATATGGTTCTGGCAGAGAGCAATTCCAAAACATAAATCAGATCTACACTTAGTTTGAACACATATGTTAATGGTTTAATTATGATTTATGTGGATATATACATATATAAACTCTACTTCTTAAAATGTTTAGAATTATCCTCTACCATCTGCTCTGTATTGTACATGAAAATAAGAATAATTCCAATGTATTAACTTTGGCCTTCCAGAAAAATACATAAACATAAAATTAAAATTAAAATGACAAAAAAAAAATGTATGTAATATTTATTTTCTTGACCTTGTACCTGAAAACTTTCATAAGCATATATTTAAGACTAAAAGTTGCTTTTTAATTGATTTTTTCAAACTAAACTTTACTGAAGCAATTTTTGAATTATATATCTCTACTAAATGTACCCACTTTATAATGATTGAGAATACATATTCTTATTCTTTGCACCACTATGCATAGCAATAGGAACATTCAGTACAACAAAATAAAATCTGATTTCTACAGTGTTCATCCAGATTCTGGCCACAATAAAGCAATGTCTACGCCATCTTTCTGGAATGTTGGACCACCATTGTTAGCTGTGGGACGTACACTAATTGTTCGTCTCTTCCCACCCAGCATACAAGGTATTGGTTTTAATGTCTGAACCTTCAATTCTTTGCTAAATCTATAAAAAAAAAAAAACAATAATGTGTAACTGATACATTTATTCCATTATAAGTTTTAATTACTATATTTCAAATTAAATTTAAATCTTCTTTCAGGTTTTTATTTTTTTTATATGTTTCATATGTAATTAAAAGAGCACCTGAAGGAAGAGGAAGTTATGATCATTTTACCTGTCAGTCTAGCAACATTGTACTTATAAATACTTATCTGGAATATTTGAAGAAATTATTTGTTTATCAAAACTTTAAAACATTCAAATTTTAACCTCCTTGATGGTCTTGAGAGTAGCATGCTCATCCTGAGTACAGTAAGTCATGGGTTTAATTGGAATTTGCTGCTACTCAGCTCAGCATGTATCATTTAACAGAAAAAGCAATGAGTGCTTTGATTATATTCAGATCTATGCTATATTGCAAGCTTGTCTATACCTTGACCATTGACATGATGATGACATAATATTCATGACCTTGATACATATTCAGCTTTTAGACAGCTTGCTGTCAATGAGATTTGTTAAGTATTTCATTTTACAGTGGAACATAAAAACTACTGAAATACCAAAATGTAACAGATGAAACTGATTAAAACTGACTGCAAATGTAACATCCAAATACTACTATATTTTCTGAAGAAAAAAAAATCTTCCCAAAATTTCTTTTTTTATGATCAGACATATCTGTTGTTGTTGGGATCAATTTGTCCCTTTTGTCTTAAAACTATTTACAACTAAAGAGTCCAAGCTATTCCAATGACAGAGCATCTCCAAATGTTAAATTTAGATAAGATATTGACACTAAGAGCAAAAATTTGACACATCAAAATTTAACCACTTTTTTTTTTATAGTAAAAACTGTCAAAATATCCCAATTATATCTTGATGACAAATTTATCAATATAAAAATAAGGAGATGTGGTGTAATTGCCAATGAGACAACTATCCACCAAAGTTCAAATGAAGTGGATGTAAGCAACAAGTGAATCTGTGAGCTACTGCTCACTAATGATACCCTCGCCCCGCTAAAAATAGGTTAACAGGAAGTTGTTGAGTGATGAATCTGAAAACGCATCACACGGTATAGCTGACTCATATAAATCCTGAAACCAAATTTCAGAAATCCTTGTAATGTAGTTCCTGAGAAAAATGTGACGAAAAATTTTCAACTTGGCTATCATGTGTAAAATGATACAAGTGTTCGGTAAACAGGAAGTTGTTGAGTGATGAATCTGAAAATGCATCACACGGTATAGCTGACTTATATAAACCCTAAAACTAATTTTCAGAAATCCTTGTATTGTAGTTCCTGAGAAAAATGTGACGAAAATTTTCAACTTGGCTATCATGTGTAAAATGATACAAGTGTTCAGTAAACAGGAAGTTGTTGAGTGATGAATCTGAAAACGCATCACACGGTATAGCTGACTTATATAAACCCTGAAACCAAATTTCAGAAATCCTTGTATTGTAGTTCCTGAGAAAAATGTGACGAAAATTTTCAACTTGGCTATCATGTGTAAAATGATACAAGTGTTCAGTAAACAGGAAGTTGTTGAGTGATGAATCTGAAAACGCATCACACAGTATAGCTGATTATATAAACCCTGAAAGACCATAACTCTGCACAAAATTATCAGACTGGAACAAAATTCCAACTTGATCTGTAACTTGTCATGATACAACTATATACTAATTATCAAATCAATATCTTCAAGGATGACAAACAAACCTACCACTAAATTCTTCAAACAATTTATCAAAGAAAAGGAAAAAAATCCAAAATGTCATTTTGTCTTTTAAAAAATGAGTTATTTCCCTTTGAACAGAAATCTACTAATTAATAAGTATTTCATCAAAAATTTAATTCTTGGGAAAGGGCTTTAACTGAACAAAGAGAAAAGCTAAAATCGTGAAAATTGAACTTGACCTGTAACTTGTCATGATAAATCAATAAACCAAATATCAAATCAATATCTTCAAGCACGAAGAAAAAAAGTCTGGAAAACTGATTTGCCGGACTGACAGATGGACAGACAGACAGACGGACGGAGTGCAAGCCTAAAGTCCCCTTCGACTTTGTCGGTAGGGGATTAATAATCAAGCTCCTCTAACTTGGTCTCAAGTCTAACTTATGAAGGTTATTCAAGAAACATGTGTTGTTCACAAGGAAATCATATCATCATATGAACATGTACTTGTTCTGATATTTCCAAAAGTTAAAGCTTTCCGTGACTTTCCACCTTCCGTGACTTTCGTTGCAGGCGAGACAACAATGACAGCATATTACCGGATCAATATTTAAACATTTCTTTCGTGTAATAATTTTTCATATTAAAGTGGTTGTTTGTATGATGGTTGCTTAATGTTCATTGGTAAAATAACATGCATAAACAGGACAAGAAAATATTAATAAGTTATGATAACAACTTGCTCTTTTACACCATTTTTTGCTCTTACTCTTTAATATCACATGCTTAGTAGAAATGAAACAAATAACAATTTTAAATCTGTTGGTTTGACCCAGACAGGGATTGAACCAAGAACATTACCACAGATAAAGTTTTAAGTTAAACTAAACAGACATTATAGACAAAGAAGTATATAATAGAATTATATAAGTTTTTACAGTAGAAGTTAATTGTGAAGAGTAGGAGTTAATTGTGAAGAGTAGAAGTTTACTGTGAGGAGTAGAAGTTTTAAATTGTGAAGACTTGCAAGGTCATCTATCCTAAAATATTTTACCTGTAACAAATGTCGAGTTTAGAATAAATAAACAGCTGCGCCATGAGCGCATGATACGCCTGTCGTCTTGTTTGTGAGGTTTTATGCAATAATCATAAATTGTTTCTGAGATACGGCACGACATGTGAAAACCCCACTTTTTTTATAAAAAAATCAATAACTCTAAAATAAAATTTTGAATCATCACCAAAAAGTATACAGATCTTTAGATTAATATAATTAAGAAGTGTGTAAAGTTTTAAGCAATAATCATAAATCATTTTTGAGATACGGCGCGACATGTGAAAAAAAACACCCCCCTGTTTTAGTTACAAAGTCCCGTAACTTAAAAAGTTTTTTTCACCAAAATGTATACAGATCCTTTGACCATCATAAGAAGCAACTATGTTAAGTTTCATGAAATTTGAATAAGTCGTTCTCAAGTTATGGTGGGACATGTGGACACCGGACAGACGGACAGACAGACAGACAGACAGACAGACGCCGTACATTTGTATACCATAATACATCCCATCAAAATTTTGACCGGCGTATAAAAATTACTGAACCTTAATTTATTATATATTTTGAGTAGTTTTGAACATAATATAGAAGACTTACAATTGCCACTGTCTGCCTAGGGTACCTATAAATTCTCCAACTCTCTCCTCCTTGCTAGGATTCTGAAGACAGACTACCAGATCATTCTCTGATGAGAGATGTATGGCTACTAACTGATCTTTACCAGGTGAAACACTCAGACCTGTTACCTGTCAATAAACAAGTGAAATGATTTATTTCAAAAGATGCCACTATCTAAGATTATATTCCTGAAGCGTTTGAGAACAGGATAGATTGATTAGCCATGAATGTGAAAAGGTATAGTTTGCACACTTACACCTTGCTTACTGATTTGTAGTCACTGAGAGAAATGCAAAGAAAATTTCATGAGACAAGACACAAAGACAGAGGTAAACCAGAACACCCCTCCTTCTAAGGAGGAAGAGGGGATAACAATATGGAACACATAATAACTGATGTGTAAAATATGTAAAATTTTCAACATTGAAAATAACAGTGACCTGCTTGAAGTGTTTTCCTGTCTCTCAGATGAAAGGCAACAACAAATAATTTTTAACCAATTTATTTTTTTATCTGAATAAGTGTTTCTTAGTTGCTGTTTGTAGAATAACATAGTCTGACAAAATTGATGCACTTTTAATAGTGTTTACAATATTGTACATGATTGATACCATACTTTAAGGGGACTCTAAAGATAAAATGAAGTGCTAAGTTTTTTCATTTACATTGTTACAAGTTGATTATGTCGTGGATGTAAATAAATAAATATTATCCTTTTCTGATAAAAAAATATTTCAAAATTTCAAATTGACCTGCAAAATACCCAAAGGACTCACTTTTATTTTAATTTTGGATTTTTTGTTTAAACAGTTGTTTTCCACCAAATAGTGCAATGAAAGAGTTGGTAATTCAATTACTATCTAAAGTATGAAGAATGCATTCGCAAACACTCAAATGGCCAGGTTGCACAGAATGTTTATCAACAATGGAGAGTGGTTTCTAATGAATATCTAAAAATACGGAAATATAAAATGGGAAAAAGTCCATTAGTGTGTAATTTTTCCATGATCTGAAATAACAAAAGCTGGTTTTGCACTTTTTGCAGCTAGCCAAAAATAATGGAATTCTATGTAGTAAAATACCTTTAACGTGTGGGAATCTTGTCGGAATCTGCATTGAATGTTGAGAAACAGACAATTTGATTAAAAAAAAAAACTGAATTGAATATAGCCTCTACCTAACAACTTATATAAAGGTTTAATACTGGAAAACTTTCTAATGTAGATCTTATCAACATATGTAAATTAATGTGTACCTCCTACACTGTCCCTTCTTTTTCAGCTTCTACAAGTAATGTCTTTTTATGTATTTTGAACCTTAAAATCAAAATAAAACTCATACTCCTTAAAAAATCACGTTTTTTTTCCTACCATACCCTATGTCCTAAACCTCATATGCATACGTACATTTTGTTTAAACAATAAAACTACGTAACAAAGCTTAAGAATGTTGAAGAAGATGAACAAATTAGATTTTTCAATAAATATTAGTTTCCGAACCTCAGATACTGGTATTCCTTTCCTCATGGGTTTGAATTTCTTCTTTGGATCCAACTTGTAAATGAATTTGTCTGTGACAGCAATGGATCTATCAGCTGGCTTACTGTGCTTATTAATCTATAAATAATGTACAACTTACAAATGTAATTTTAAATAATACTACTTTTTGTAGAAATCTGTGGCAGGAAATCTTCATACAAGTATAATTCTTAAATTTTGCATATCTACAAATACTTGAATCAGGATTGGTCCGTTAGAATTTTTCCCCTTGGTTTACACTTCGATAGACAATGTTGCTGAAACTACTTTCGTAAACTTCACTGTGATCTATTCAGGCGTGATACACAGGCATGGGATCCAAGGGTTCTAATAAAATTGACATAAAAAAACAAATTTGTAACTGTTATAACAAATAAAAGGAAAATGTGTCTATGGGCCATAGATGTCCCGCTTGTAAATATGCACGATTCAACTTCCACATACAGATGCAGGATCCACGTAGTTGAGACCGTTTTGTGGTAATAAGCGTCTCTTACTCACAAACTTTACTTTTTGTGAGTTAATCACCCCAGTTTACGCATCAATAACCTCTAGAAAGAATGTGTTTAATCCATTAATAAATGACATCAAAGATAAGCAAGCTATTTCATTTTATATAAACCATTGCATATAATCTTTAAAATCAGTTAAAAATATAATAAGTCACATGAATAATGTAGTTAGCTGCATTTAGTGTGTTGGAAGACTAATTAATTCATTAATTTTACTCTTAGTGATCAATCTTTCCAATCAGAGTCAACACAGAAAGACTAAAAAATTGACAACCCAAAAGCCATTTAAAACATGCAAGTAAAAAATAAATGCCTTAATAGCTATCATTACCTTTTTAACCATACAGGAGAAGATTATTTTGGTAAATTTATCTTGCGTCTTTAAATGGTTCATTTTGACAACAAAATCCATGGTATTACTGTTATCTTTACTCTGAAATGACAGTCAATAAATTAGATCATTCAATACCATTCTAGATTAAGTCTCTGATCAGTAAGTATGATCAATGCATTGATCACTGATCGATTTTCATTTCAGCATGCCTTAAACTGTTTCAATAAAAAAACTAATTTAAATTTTCTACTCTTTTTTTACCTAAGGATATAACAGTCTCTTGTTTTAATAAATACTTCTGATCAGGATATTTTATTTTCTATTAATGAATATATAAAAAAAAAATCTTAGGGTAGTGATGAGCCCCCTCCAGTAAACAAGTAAATTGTGATGGGTTTTTTAATTTAAATATAGCTTTTACCAACAGAAGGCAGAAATTTACAGATGCACTACTCAGCTATCCCAAAACTGTAAGGGGTTTTCAAGTAAGAGAGCAGAAACAATTTTTTTACATGTGCAAAAATGAGTGACTAAGTTGAACTTAGTTTTTAGCTATGACTTTCACTGTAGGGTTTTCTTATTTTATAGTACACACCATTTAGTAGTGGTGAATAATCCTGTCAAAATTTAGTACTCAACTCCAAGGAATTAGATTGAAGAGCGGAAACTATTTGTGACAAATGGACGGACCAATGCGCAAGCTGATTACCATACGCCTTCAGTCAATTAATTAGCGGGCACTTATTATTTGCCAGATGTGAACAAAGTAAAATTAATTAGCAGAATTTACAGATTTTTGTTAAGATAATTTAGATTTTTGTTAGGCTAATTTTAAGCATATAAAACAGACAGAAAATTGTATGCTATTTAATAAAATTATATGTTTTTTTAAACAATATTTAATACTGAAATAGAGTTAGAATAGAAAACAAATAAAAATAAACATTTCATATATTTGAAGATATTCCAAATATATTTATATACAGTACATGTACAATATATACAAAGAAGGATAACTCCAAAGACTCCTTTACAAAATGACAAGTCAATAAAAAACATCTATAACACAATAAACACCTACACAACCCAATATTTACCAAATATTTAAATAAACACCTCTCATTTATATAAAACTAAAGCTTGAATATAAGTTGCATTTTAGCTGTATTTTTGCAAAATGACATGCATTAAAATATCCTTATATGAACAATTATAAATTTCATTATCAACTGGTAAAGTTGCCCTGAAATGAATTTATCTACATTTGATAGACATTAACTAGAAGACCCTAGGTATTTATTCTCAATCTTAATTACTATACATATAACTTAATTTCTAATTCATAAACTTGGTCATTTGCATGTGTGCCACACTGCAAGCTTAACAAGTGCTACAGAAGGACAGAATTAGAAGAGACGTGTTGAAACTCGCTGACAAAGAGAAAGCAAACAATTTCAGATTAATCTGTATTTTGATTGTTAATTACAATATTGTACAACACATTTCCTTGCATACAGGAAATATTTTAACACATTGCACACATGTTTCTACAAATGTGTAGTGCTTATTTAATATAAAGCAGCTTTTAATCATTAAGTCTACATCTCATTTTATTTTAATATTTCAGTTTTCCTTTTAAAATGATAAAATAAATAATAGAGATCTCCAAGTTAGAGAATGAGACCTCTATTTAAAAGATATTGCTGTGCTCTTAAATCTCAAGTATGAACATATCATTTCAACAAATTTGCTATAAAAATATATTCTGGCAGCTAAAAATAATAATATAAAACTTCTTTTGAACCATGTTGACTAATGGTAAATACTGACATTTTATTAAAAATTATATTTTTTTATGTCTAGCAATTTTATAAATCATATAACTATCATAATTGTGCGCAGCCTATGGTTTCAGTGGAAATATGAGCAAATTTTATTATACCTTCACATTTCTTCATCTTAATTATAAAACATGTTAAATAAAAATAGACTTTTCCACTGAAACCTACAAATCAACATGCAATAATCTAATATACCTTTACCTCAGCTGATTCCTGTTTAAAATCATCAAATAATTTCTTAAATTCATTTGTAAACAAGCTAACAGCAAATAGACTGAACTTGTGCATAAAAGCCTATTTCGAAACTTTCTGGAATTTAAATAAAATCAGAAAGAAAGTGACTCGAAAGACAAAAATATCCAACAAAAGCAAATAGAAATTTTTTCGAAATGAATTAAGAACCCCTTTCTTTTTGCTTACTAATCAAAACTGTTCATAATTATTTTACAGTAAACCTTATTGGTGGGTTTGCTTTTCTTCAAAAATTTTCTTCAAGTAGTTTGTACTGTTTCTTTCTTAAAATGCTTCAAATTCTGGTTGGGAAATGCTCCACAATTTCTGTGAAAGAATTTGTTTTCCTAATCAAATGCAAAATCAGATAGCTAAGAGGAGCTATGGCTTTGAGCCCTTGGTCATATTAACTGTTTTTGGTGAAAATGAAAACCAAAGGTTTTTTTCTTGTTAGCTTTTAAAGAATATGTGAGTTTTCTTAGGAAGATGTGTGTGAACTGCTATCTACAAATAATATAAGCAGAACTGGCCATTAATGTTTTGGTATGGAAAACCCCAAAATTTACCAAGATCAAAAGTTAAAATATCCGTTGCACAACTTCAGGTCCTGTAGAAGAATTTGTGCAAGTACTGGTTGATTTCGAAAAGGCGTGGAATAACAATCTGATAGAAGAAAAGCTTACTTTTAGTCCATAGTTTTGGTATGGAAAATCCCATAAGTCATTCAGATCAAAAATTATAACAGCAGGTACACAACTTCATGTACTATAGAAGAATCTTGTTGAATTTTGTTAAATTCTTTTCTTACAGCTGCAGATTTACATAAAGTTTGACACAGTCAATGACTGAAGACTACAAAAAAAGATCCCTGGCAGGGGACCTAATAAGACATGATCTGTGCTCCAGTTTATAAGAAAATACTTAAACTTTTAAATCTATGGACCAACCTTCACAGAATGATTTCATTGGAAAGAAAGGTTAAATGTACACTGAATGATTTCATGGGTAAAAATAGTAAAATGCAATCATCACAACTAAGCAATATTATTTTAGAAATAATAAAAGAACATAGTTCCAATGTCCCCAACGTTGCGCATATTTTATCTATCCAAGGTACAAGGGCAATAACTAAATAAAACACTTTTGTTTTGTTTTTTAAAACTTTTATAAATATCTTGGAGAAATGAAGGCTCCAGAGGAAATGGAATGCGATTTCCATTATAATTAATATTTCCAAGGGGCATAACTCATTAAAAGTATTTGATCAGCACTTATTTCAGAAAGTGTTAAAGACATTGATGATATAAACCTATTATATAAAATTCATAAAAACCTCGAAAGAATTGTTGTATACATGAGAGCGCTAACACTAATTTTCCATATAATTAATATTTCCAAGGGGCATAACTCTTTTAAAACAATTGATCAGCACTGATTTTCAAATTCGTCAAAGACATAATTTACTAATATAAACCTATGATATAAGTTTCGTAAAATTCTGGCAAGAATTCTACACATGAGAGCATTAACAATTCAATTTTCCATATAATTATTGTTTCCAAGGGGCATAACTCTTTCAAAAATAATTGGTCGGCACTGATTTTTGAACTTGTCCAAGACATTGCTGATATAAACCTATGATATCAGTTTCATAAAAATCTTGCAAGAATTGTAACGTGAGAGTGCTAACTAGACCCGACCAGACAATTAATGATCAAAGGAAATAGTTCATAGTCCCCTTCAAAGAAAGTCGTATAAATCAAAGGTACCCAAAAACAGTGTTCTTCTAGAAAAAAAAATCTAAACAAATTCATTATTTCATAAACTCTTTCTGAGCAGCTTTTCCATTTATTTACAACTATTTTTCATAAAAATATTGTATTTCCTTAAATATGATTTTGTGAAGTGCATTTCAGACCAGCATGCATTAACCAAATAATAACATCAAAATTAAAGCATGGAGAAGTTTTAATCTGACATAAAAACTTACTTGGGCGAGGTAATTGCCTTCCCATTTTCTTCTGTAACCCCACTCTGGCCTCTGACCTTTCAATAAATCTTGTGCCACTGTCTTTAACCGTAATTCTGGCCACTCTGACTTTGGATGACCTTTAAGGATCATGTTTGCTCGCCATCTAAAAGCAATGTTTTTTTTAATACATCACATTTTTATGTTTGGGTCTCTTCTTTGTTGAATTTATTTACAAACCAACAACCAATGTTAGACAGCATAAGTTAAAGCATTCTTTGATACAATATTATCTATTATTACGTTGGTTGCAATGAAATACCATGTTAAATAAAAACCGAGAATTTCAAGACATTGTCAATGAAGTTGCATCAAAATGAATTGGGAATGCGTAAAATAAGAATTAGTTCCTTTTATTTTTCTATTCTTTTTTTATTAAAAAGCCCATACTCAATGTAATGAAATACCATTGGCTTTTAAGGGAACAAAAATGCATAAAAAATACTTAAAGAATAACAAATCAAATAATTCAAATATAGAAAAATGTTAAAATCATGACTGAACAACACTGATAATTAACTGATGCCCTACACGCATTTGTGAATTAATGTGTTGTTCGGTAACTCATTGAATATTTTTTCTATATTTAAATTTTTCTATTTGTTATAGTATAAGTATTTTTTATGCATTTTTTGTTCCCTTAAATGGCAATAGCATTGAATAAAGCGCTATTTCTGGATTGATTTTAGTGGGTTTTTTTTCACAGAAACTTTTGTTCTTTCACTTATGTAAATTAAAATCTGTAGAGTGTTCCCAGAAACCCTATACTTTGATTGTGATTGCTGCTGTCAGTGTAAAAGTGAAATGTTGACTGCAAAAAACTAAGTTCATTTATCTGTAAAGTGTGTAAACATGAAGAAAAATTAATTGAAAATTTTGTTCTGGATACGGTCTTCTGATCATAAAAAGATTCATAAATTTTTTAAAAGTTTTGACAAATCTATTGATGTCTAAAAACTTTAACCACAGACTGAACATAAATGTTGACGCCATCCAAAAACACACTCTGTAAGATCACTATGTCTCGCTTCTGTGAAATAATGTTGCAGGCTCAACAAAAGGGGACAGTGAATATTTATAAAACTTTTTAACCCGATTATGTTTGCAAGTCTGTTTCATATCAGGACTGTACCTGTTATTGATTGATAGATTAATTGTTGGTATTTAACACCACTTTCAGAACTATTGGTTACATTGTGGCGGTCAGTTTTTATTGGTGGAGGAAGCTGTTGTGTCAGGAGAAAACTACCAATGTTCTGCAACTAACAATCCTAGTCAATTTTAAAAAATTGGATTTGAACACAACTGGCATGTGTGAGCTCACCTCAGTGTAGACAGGCTAGTGATAGAGTAGATAAACTTCTTAGACCACTTGACCACAGAGGCCCTACCTGTAATTGAGCATTCCATCTCAATACAATTTAGAATCTCTATCAGTATGGCATGCTATAAAGTTTGACTTCTATAGCAGTTATAAGCATACCTGTGATGAACTACTTGTAACATTTTGACCATTCCTTCTAGCACACTTGGTGGGTTTGGCCACACAACACTCTTCCCATAATCCTTCATTCTCTTCACATTTCTAAAAATAAAATGATTTTAAGTCATTTTATCTTTGGAAGTCATTGTTACTTTGTATTTTTTTTAGGGGCAGCACATTTCAATTGTTTTTTTTGTTGTTTTATTTTATAAACTGCATATCTTATTGTTAGTACCAATAACTAATCAATCAAAGGTTTGGTATGATAAGGTCTTTTTTTGGGTCTTTAAATTAAAAAAAAAAAATAATAATAATATTAATTCAATAAAAACACTCAGATGTTCCACAGATATTCTTTCTTTTTTCCAATATAATTTTTTAAATTTTGTTATTGTGTCTTATATATATATATTTACAATTACTTAAGGGTTTCAAACTAAACCTGACTAAATAGCCTTGTCATTATTAGATATGATCCAAGGCCTAAACCAAAAAGATACTTTACTTCAAGTTATCTTATACAAAGATGTTAATGTGGATCCAATATCTTTTAGAGTACGACTTTGGCTCATAGTTAATTTTGCCAAAAACAGTAAAATGGTCATTTTGGTCTGATATGTTAATTCGAACATGTTTGTGTCACAGTGACATCACAACTGACATTTCTGTATTTGAAATAGTATTCAGATTATATAATCCTATTCATTTATCTGTAAAATAAGCAGAACTTTGTAAAGATTGATGAATGTCACTATTTTGTCAATTTAAAGGAAGAATTAATGGCTCTTATTGAAACCTCCTTATTTGAAATAAAAAATATTTGTATAGATTGTTTGATTGGTGTTTGATTTATGCCATCTCAGCATAATGGTTTAGAAGATATATAATATATGTTTAAGCACCAAACATTTTATATATTCATATGTCCTTGACATAAAATATTTGTCCATGATATAAAATGTTTAAGATAGCTAGATAGTTTTCGTTGAGTAAATAATGAAATATCATGCACCCTTCAAAAAATATTAATCCATAATGTAACAAACATCTATATATATACAAACCTGAACTTTTCAACTAAATTCAAAATGTACTGTCTCAATTTGTACTTCCTAAACTTATTCATGATGAAATAAATAGCTTTCATAAATTTGGCTTTCCGTCTGGCAAGACCTCCTCTCCACATCTATAATAGAAAAAAACAAAAAGGTAAGAAAAAGAACTAGGGGATTAATGAAGCTTGCATAACTCTGTCTAAAACAAATTCACAGCAAGAAGAAAAATTGAAATAGATCCAACCTCAAGGAATGATTTTGTCCAAGTTTATCAAATTGGCCAAAAGTAATAAAAAACATTTTTCTCTCAATTATTAGCTGATTTCTACTTTCCTTGACTTGCTAATTTTTTTTTAGTATAATTTTATAATCAACCTGTACTTCATTTCATCTCAGTTCCTTATTGGTCAAAATTCAATTGTGACATCAAATAATTCTTGCTCTCCTCAGAATTTGCTATTCTGATGTAGTTCAATAATAGTAAACCTTGTACTGTAGTTCAATAATAGTAAACCTTATACTGTAGTTCAATAATAGTAAACCTTATACTGTAGTTCAATAATAGTAAACCTTATACTGTAGTTCAATAATAGTAAACCTTGTACTGTAGTTCAATAATAGTAAACCTTATAACTGTAGTTCAATAATAGTAAACCTTATAACTGTAGTTCAATAATAGTAAACCTTATAACTGTAGTTCAATAATAGTAAACCTTATAACTGTAGTTCAATAATAGTAAACCTTATAACTGTAGTTCAATAATAGTAAACTAGTTCAATAATAGTAAACCTTATAACTGTAGTTCAATAATAGTAAACCTTATAACTGTAGTTCAATAATAGTAAACCTTATACTGTAGTTCAATAATAGTAAACCTTATACTGTAGTTCAATAATAGTAAACCTTATAACTGTAGTTCAATAATAGTAAACCTTGTACTGTAGTTCAATAATAGTAAACCTTATAACTGTAGTTCAATAATAGTAAACCTTATACTGTAGTTCAATAATAGTAAACCTTATACTGTAGTTCAATAATAGTAAACCTTGTACTGTAGTTCAATAATAGTAAACCTTATAACTGTAGTTCAATAATAGTAAACCTTGTACTGTAGTTCAATAATAGTAAACCTTGTAACTGTAGTTCAATAATAGTAAACCTTATACTGTAGTTCAATAATAGTAAACCTTATACTGTAGTTCAATAATAGTAAACCTATCATTACCTTTTGTAAGAAAACTATAATCCCTGGCAACATCTTGTCTCTGGCCTCTTCTAACTGAAACAGGGTCTGTGGTGATCTAATGAAAACTTTGGATTTTCCATAAGCTACATCATTTTCATAATTCAATGTTCTGATAATGGTTTTAACTCCATCTATTTCATTTCCGCGGAATGTTGGCCATGTATGACTTGTCAGGCACTTATATCTAAAAAAGTGACGTACTTATGAAAATGTTTTGCGAAAATGAAGAGATTCTGCCTTTTTTGTGGCATCATATACTGTGGTTTCATTACTATTATTCATGGGATACCAATTTCTCGTTGATTTTGTGGGTAAAGGTGAACCACAAATTTAAATATTCAAGGAAGTACAAATTTTCTATAGGCTTGTGTGCTATCTTATTCAAAACCATGAAGTCATATATCCACAAAAATGCAAGTTTTCCTTAATCCACGAGATTAAATGAATCCACAGTAGATAAGATGTTACGTTGAAAAGCTATATAGTGTTTCAAATGGAATCACTTTCCTAAGAATGGTTGAAAAGAATACTTTTAGACTTTAAAACAACCTACCTTCCATCCATCCCACAGAAGACATTACAGATAAAACTCTTTACTAACCATTCTAATATATTGTCCTATTCATGTGTGGTGTTTCATCACTTCAAACAATACACACAAAAGTTTAAGTAAGCAAACTTCACAAAATGACACCCCCTGTCTTGCAAGTAAATGATTTTCAAGGAGAAACCCCAAAATAATTTGGATCAAAAAACAAAATAAAAGGTGCACTTGGAATATGACAACATGCATGTCATGCAAAAGTAGACCCCAAATATCATTCAGATGAAGAAATAAAAATAAGAAGTGTAAGCATATCATGCTCCACTAGTGCACTTAACTTATATTTATCTGTAGAATATCGGATGAACAATGACAAAGAATAAAAATATCTACTGTAAATTCAAAAATTATTGCGACGTTTTTATTAATGCAAAAAATGTGACAGTATCAGGTTTGCAATAATAAAAACTTGTATTCATAATTTCAGGAGCAATTTTCCTTCACAAAATTTTTGCAATCACATCAATGAGATCTCACATTTTTACCAGTTATCAGTGATTCCTATAAAAAGTGCACACATTAACTTCCAAATACACAGTACTTGAAATAGTTATACCTTTACTAATGAATGCACTAGAAAATAAGTAGATTAGATTTTTTTAAAAACAAATAGATCACTTTAAATATACAGGGAAAAATTGTCAGGTGCACATTAATTTGGCACATATTTATATATGACTGTTTAGAACAACTTACCTTTGCAAAAATCTAGAGTAAGGAGCTCTGTAGGCAAAACCAGCTCGTCTGACACGAACATTTTCTAATAATCCTAGGTAAAGAACTTGATGTTTGACACGCTGCTGATCAAAGACGCTCGGTGATTTAAGGTCATTTGGTTTTACACATCTCACATAATGTGGTTCCTTAAATGAAATTCAATATTAAATTACCTTGTTTTTTCAGAAAATTATAAGAAAAATCTGCATTCAGGAATTAACCATCTACAGTCGATTCCGGTTATTTGCATAGCCTATTTGTCAGACAAAATTATGCAATTAAGCGGAGTATGCTTATATCCGAAATGCCAAATTACGGAGTCAAATAACATCGATAGTACAGATCAGTAAAGGAAATCCCTGAAGAAAGATGAACGTCCATAATCCACTTACAACATATTGAATGCTTATTTATTCTAATAAAAGTTATGTGTCTAGTGTTGTACATGTTATTTTATTTTGTATTCTTTCAATAAAGTTTATAAACACATTTTGTTTTAGTTTATTTGCGTACCGACTTTTCCTTTACCTGAGATACGAAAATAAAACTAATTGTTCTAAAAATAGATTTGTTTCTATGACCCGGATGTACAATGTACATTGTTACGCTTTGATTAAATTAACTGTTTAACAATACTACACAGTTTATAATCATTTTAGACAATAAATGTGTACTAAACTGCCTTTGATATGCAGTATTTACCGCTTGCACAGTGATGTAACACTGTTTCTTTAACCTCGTTAGTTTCGTATATGCAAAGCAGTTAACAGGTAATGGGGCCCTGTACGGGTTATTTGCAGGACACGAGTGTTGAAAGAGAGAAAATATAATAATTAGAAGTTGATTTTCTTTTCAAAAAATATTAAAAATAAAAGATTGATGAATAAAATTCTTCAACCATATATAAATGCCCTGTAATATTTAACATAAGTGTAGATCACCCCAAGCCGAATTACGAGAGTACACATTGGATAATGATCGATAATTAACAGGGGTTATTGTTTTTAAAATTCACCCCAAATGTAATCTATGAACAATGTTTGAAATCCAATCAATAATTAACACCTTTTGAGATAGATTGGACGTGTTTTTACAACAATCACCTGTTTGACATTTTTATGACCTCGAGGCTTAAAATAGAACATGGGAAACTTTACCTGTGTACACATCGAGGCTTATTTTATAATCATATAAACACGAAAGAAACTGTTTTAAAACTTTATTTAGATAACACAAAAGTAAATATGAAATAATAACGAAAATTATGATGCATTCATGAAAAATATACTTACCAAATTGCCGTTTCCGGTCAAAAATCTCGTCAGTTTTAACTAAGCATATCTAGCTGGCGAATATTTTCTATGCAATTAACCGAAAGGCCACTTGTAAGGCTATGCATATAACCGGACAATTTAACATTAGATGAATGGGAAATGGTTTTGTGCAGGAGAAAAGTATGCAATTAACCGAATTATGCTATTAAGCGGTATGCAATTAAGTGGAATCGACTGTATTGATCTGTATTAGAAAACAATTAATGAATGACCTTGTGTAAAATCAAGAAAAAATTTCTATGAAAGTTTAATGAAATCGTTCCTTTGCTATCTTAAACCAATTAAAATTCTTACAATAATGAACTAGGAGGAAGCTGTATCTTAATGTCTGTAAATGTAAATTACAAATATTCAAATCCAGTTAGTTTTGCATACCATTAACTTATTACATCAGAGGTATCTTTGTTTTGGCAAAATAAGCAAGCCAAAGGGTTATGCCTGGTAGTAGGTTGGATATATCATTAGCATGTTGGCATTGGCCTCAGACTTACATTTTATCTTGGAAACCTTAAAATGTTGTAAGATTTTATTTCATGCATTTAATTTGCACCAAATAAAAATGAATTCGGAAACCTCACTAAAATGAAATTAAAATCTTGGATTAAAAAGGTTAATATTTCTTATTAAAAATTAATCAATCATTGCTTTTCTTTACAATTTTTCTAAAAATGTGTCTGTTAATAATCAAATCATAATCTTTAATTATAAACTATGAAATCCTGTACTATATTGTCAACTGCATGTGAAGCAACTAATAAATACTCAACAGTTACAGGATAGGAAACACATTGAAAAGGAAAAATAACAACTTTATCCACTGAAGAAAAAATCTACCTAAAATAATACCTACATCTAATTATGAAAATATCTATCTAAAGTAATACCCATACACTAACCTTACAAGCTAAAATATCTACTAATGCTATGATAGAATTTTTGAAGCTTGTTCCTGCTGTTATTGGTCTCTTAGTGGTCTCAGTGATGTGCTGTTTACCTTCTGGGAACATTTCTTTTAGAACCTGTTCTTTGCTTTATAAAAAAAGAAATTTAAAAATAATTCTCATCCCCAAAAATACACTAAAATGTTTTAAAATAGTTTGAGTATTGCATATGGAATGTGATATACCTTTAACTAGAAAAGGCACCTTGATCTTTGGATCAATATAAAAAAAAAAAGGGAATTACAATATATGATATTCCTTCATATTATAAAAGAGTAACTACTTCATTCCTTCAAGGGTTAAAATGTTCAGTAATCATATATAATATTGTTTAATTTTAGTTATCCTTTAACATTTGAAGGATATTACACCTAAAGAAAAGACAATCAGCTGTCTGAAAAACAAATTCAGAACAACATCTGATTATTCAATATAAAATCTTTTGGAGCGGAGGTATAAGTATGACAGAGGGCAATCACAGGCTACAGGCTCCTGACTCTGGACAAGCACGTTAGAATTTGACAAGGTTAAACATGTTTGTGAGCACCAATCCTCATCATTACCTCTGACAGTCTAAGAGCACAACATTAAAATATAAACAGTATTAATCAGTTGGAAAAGGCTTGGTGAATCATCAGATTGGTTCTAAGCACAAAAAAACATAACAATGACAAAAGACACAAAATACCTGCCTTAATGTACTAAATTTCCCTAGGTAATTTAAACCCCAATTTCACCTCATGAATAGACCGTGTTTTCATAGATTGAACTATAAATTGTTGCACCTCCAACAGATTTAGTGTAAACATCATAAGCAGTCTGAGAAAGCATGACCTTGTGCAATGCCAAATACAAGTATCTACAAGATGTAGGACAATAAGTGTTAATAACTAGATGGTAATACATAATTAGTAATGTATTTAAAACTATTGAAAATAAAATCAATGTTAGTGCTGATTATGACAATATTCAAAAAGCTTAATGACCACATAGTACAAATAGCCTAACTAATGGATGTTAAGTGATGGTAAAATTTATCCAGATGTTATAACAGATAAAATAATGTGAACTTACCTATTATACAGAAGTCGTTTCCAATCCTGGAACAAAGTATCTTTATTCTTATCTATAAAACTTTCTACTGAGTACACGACATCACCAGCATAATGTTTAATTCTGAAATCTCTCTTGTGTTCCAATGTCTTGTCAGCTGGCTGGAGCTGAAAGTACAAATATAAATAGTATAATATATTGAGTGCAACCTATGATCAATCAATAATAGTTTTTTTATATATAACACTAAAAAATTGCATTTGATTTAGAAAAACTTTAATTTTTCTATTAAATAATTCATGTTTCTAAAATAGTTTATGTACAACTTACAGCTCTACATGTAAAATGTTCGTGTTTGGCAAGTTTCTGTGACATGGCTGTCAAAAACATCTGAAAAGAAAAGCATCATTCAATAAATTTGGATACAATGTATATACAAAACTGAACATATGATGCCATAAAATAAACATAATTGCTACCATTTCATAAAATATTCCCCACCACTGTGTACTCAATGGTATAAATAATAGACTGTTGTACAACAGCTTTTCAGACAACATTGACACATATGACAGGGTTTTATCTTATGGTTTCATGAAAGTAGCATTTACAAGTGGTGAGTATGCTGTAATAAGCTAAGCATAGCAAAAGTCACACAACTCCAGCAGAAATTGTCAAATCAAAATGATGGTGTACAGTAAGACAACTAAACATAATGACAAACAATCATACCAAGTATGAAAATTTTCTGTCAAAAGGTCTCAGAGGAGTTGTGTTCACAATGTGTTATTATGTTGCAAAAGTCAAAACAGTTTTTACAGCAATCAAGATTTTACTTAGGCAATAAAGGTAATGTGTTCTACAAGAATCACCAGTCCTTCACCTTTCATTTGATACCTAAATTACCAAAATATATTCTACTTAGTTTAATATTTACATCTATGTGTAGGAACTATTTTGTTTAAAATATGTACTACTTTCCAGTATGTTCTTTTTGACCAGACCTGATTTAGTGGTGTTACAACCTGCAAAGTCTTATCGAAAATATTTTGCAAAGAATTCTGCTCAAACTGGTGCTAGGGGTTGTCTCAAACTTCAAGTGAGTTGAGAGCTTTTTGCTCCATGTTGAAGGCCTCACTGTGACTTTGAGAAAAGTAACAGCAATAAAAGCGCTGTTCCTTTGCTTTTTTTGTGTTTTTTGCTGTGCATGTACTGATTTTGTGTCATGGATGGATACCCCATATCCTTTGTTTTTCTATTTCATAAACTCCTGAAAACCACAAGAGTAATTCCTCAGCATCAAAACATGACCTCAACTTTGTCATGAAAAAACACATTAAATTTTAGATGAAGAAAAGCAATAAAAGTACTGATCCTTTGGTTTTGGTTTTGTCGTAGCAAGTGAAGGGATGTCATATCTTAATTACAGTACCTTCTTTCCATTCTAACAATTTTCAATTTTATTATTTAATATGCATACCTCATCAGTGACTTTCCCTACACTGAGACAAGCCTCATCCAGTATTGCCAGTACTCCTTTATGTGCTTGTTCTACTAAATCACAGATGATTTTGTTGTTGAAGTATTCTATATGAACCCATTTGATCCCTTCTCTCATATACTCCTCTTGTTCTTGTTTTAGAACAAGTTCTATAAACAATTGTTGTAATTTCTCATTGCAGTAGTTGATGCAGAATTGTTCAAAGCTAAAAAGATATTAAAAAAAAGTATATTAAGGCTACCAATTCAGCTGAGGAAATGTTCAACACAAACTTATTTCATGTAAGAAATCAGTGGAGCAGGACAAAATCCCCAGGCAAAAGCCTCAGTTCAAAGTCTGTAAATATAGAAATATATCATGTTCTTAACCCAATTAATTCAGTCCTTCCCCGTGATCGACTCTCCCACTCGCGAGGGCCTGAACTCTTTATACGATAAAAACGCGTTCTTTGTTTGACTGTCTCCCTTGTCTTGCATACAACATCCATGTGTAGTGTTATAGACTGACATTGATGAGACATATGAACTTTACTATTTTTCATATCTTGTTTAAACATTCAGTTTATATTGTAACTAAACTTCTTGTAATAGTGCATATTTAATAAATTTGTTAACTTCATGTGTAGTTTTCTTTTCAATTTTACAAAAAGGAACTTGAAATTAATACATTTTTGTATTAAGGAATTGAATGCTTCTTTTCATAATTTTATTGGGGTGTAAAAGCTTTGACTGAAGCACATTTAGTATGAATCGTGGAAGTGCTTCATATTAACTAGAGGCTCTAAAGAGCCTGTGTCGCTCACCTTGGTCTATGTGCATATTAAACAAAGGACACAGATGGATTCATGACAAAATTGTGTTTTGGTGATGGTGATGTGTTTGTAGATCTTACTTTACTTAACATTCTTGATGCTTACAATTATCTCTATCTATAATGAACTTGGCCCAGTAGTTTCAGTGAAAATTATCTTGTAAAAATTTACAAAATTTATGAAAATTGTTAAAAATTGATTATAAAGGGCAATAACTCCTTAAGGGGTCAATTGACCATTTTGGTCATGTTGACTTATTTGTAGGTCTTACTTTGCTGTACATTATTGCTGTTTACAGTTTATCTCTATCTATAACAATGTTCAAGATAATAACCAAAAGCTGAAAAAATTTCTGAAAATTACCAATTCAGGGGCAGCAACCCAACAACGGGTTGCCTGAATGGTCTGAAAATTTAAGGGCAAATAGATCTTGACCTAATGAACAATTTTGTTTTGAAAGATTTGCTCGAAATGCTTTGGGTTTAGATATGTGAGCCAAAAACAGCATTTTACCCTATGTACTATTATTAGCCATGTCGGCCATCTTGGTTCGCGGGCAGGGTCATCAGACACAATTTTAAAACTACATACCCTAATGATTATTGTTTACAACTTTGGTTAAATTCATCTTAGTAGTTTCAGAGAAGATTTTTGTAAAAGATAACAAAAATTTACGAAAAATTGTTAAAAATTGACTATAAAAGGGCAATAACTCCTTAAGGGGTCAACTGACCATTTTGGTCATGTTGACTTATTTGTAGAACTTACTTTGCTGAACATTATTGCTGTTTACAGTTTATCTCTATCTATAATAATATTCAAGATAATAACCAAATACGGCAAAATTTCCTTAAAACAAGAAATGATTGTAACAGGATGCTGTTACGAAGTCTCCCAAACGAAGCTCCCATAATTCGTAATTCCCAGGGTCGCCTGACATTGGGCTAAGTCCAGTGAAAATTGGTTTGGTCCAGTAAAGTTATATGCATTAGTGATGCCTGGGGACTAACCCTGTATATCATTCAAATCATCTTGGCATGACAAACCAGAATATATATGGTTTAGGGGTGGGGATCTCGACCATTTACAAGATATTATAACTTTCTCAAATGGCAGGGGGTCGGGATGACCCCTGGGGACTAACCCTGTATATCATTCAAACCATCTTAGCATGACAAACCAGAATATATATGGTTTAGGGGTGGGGATCTTGACCACTTACAAGATATTAGAACTTTCTTAAATGGCATGGGGTGGGGGTGACCCCTGGGGACTAACCCTGTATTTCATTTCATGTGCTTTGTCATGACAAACCAGAATATATATGGTTTAGGGGTGGGGATCTCGACCGATTACAAGATATAAGAACTTTCTCAAATGGCAGGGGGTCGGGATGACCCCTGGGGACTAACCCTGTATATCATTCAAACCATCTTAGCATGACAAACCAGAATATATATGGTTTAGGGGTGGGGATCTTGACCACTTACAAGATATTAGAACTTTCTTAAATGGCATAGGGTGGGGGTGACCCCTGGGGACTAACCCTGTATTTCATTTGATTTGCTTTATCATGACAAACCAGAATATATATGGTTTAGGGGTGGGGATCTTGACCATTTACAAGATATTATAACTTTCTCAAATGGCAGGGGGTTGGGATGACCCCTGGGACTAACCCTGTATTTCATTCAAACCATCTTAGCATGACAAACCAGAATATATATGGTTTAGGGGTGGGGATCTTGACCACTTACAAGATATTAGAACTTTCTTAAATGGCATGGGGTGGGGGTGACCCCTGGGGACTAACCCTGTATTTCATTTCATGTGCTTTATCATGACAAACCAGAATATATATGGTTTAGGGGTGGGGATCTCGACCAATTACAAGATATTATAACTTTCTCAAATGGCAGGGGGTCGGGATGACCCCTGGGGACTAACCCTGTATATCATTCAAACCATCTTAGCATGACAAACCAGAATATATATGGTTTAGGGGTGGGGATCTCGATCATTTACAAGATATTAGAACTTTCTCAAATGGCAGGGGGTCGGGATGACCCCTGGGGACTAACCCTGTATATCATTCAAACCATCTTAGCATGACAAACCAGAATATATATGGTTTAGGGGTGGGGATCTTGACCACTTACAAGGTATTAGAACTTTCTTAAATGGCAGGGGGTGGGGGTGACCCCTGGGGACTAACCCTGTATTTCATTTAATGGGTTTTATCATTTAGAACATTTTCAATTAAAAAGATTGTGTCTATGACAAACGGTTTTCAATTGATAATCATTTGAAAATTTTAAAAAATAAAATCCCATAGGGTTCTATAGTAAAACCCTCTTTTCTTTTTGCCCCTCAAAATACCCCTTTGTAAACCCCATTGCACAAACAAAACCCTGATTGCACCACTAGACTTGTTAGTCTAACATATTGTGAAATCCTAAGTTAATCTGACAAGCGGTTTTGGAGAACGGGTGCGGACAAGTTCAAATTTAAAAGCGGCGGAAGAGGAAGAGGAAGAGGAAGAGGAAGAAGAATAATAATAATAATAAGAACTGAGCAAAAACAATAAGTCTTCCCAAACTTCGTTTGGGAGACTTAATTACTAATTCAGGGGCAGCAACCTAACAACGGGTTGTCCGATTCATCTGAAAATTTCAGGGCAGATAGATCTTGACCTGATAAACATTTTTACCCCATGTCAGATTTGCTCTCAATGCTTTGGTTTCAGAGATATAAGCCAAAATCTACATTTTACCCCTATGTTCTATTTTTAGCAATGGCGGCCATCTTGGTTGGTTGGCAGGGTCACCGGACACATTTTTTAAACTAGATACCCTAATGATGATTGTGGCCAAGTTTGGTTAAATTTGGCCCAGTAGTTTCAGAGGAGAAGATTTTTGTAAAAGTTTACGGACGACGGACGACGGACGACAGACGCCAAGTGATGAGAAAAGCTCACTTGGCCCTTTGGGCCAGGTGAGCTAAAAATGTGTCACTGGACAGTGAGGTGTTGTCCATTTTGGAAATGATACTGACAATTCATTATTAACTTTTACTTTCACTTTCATTTTAACGTCAAACCTATTATTGTGACGTAACGTCTTGTTAAACTTTTTGTAACCCCATATGAACCTGATTTTATGTACTTCAGCATTTGTTTCCTATCATTCAATTGTCCTGAAGATGCCACCATAAGTGGTGAAACATGTTAACCAGAATAAAGCATTTATTTGCAGTAGTCCAGGATGTTCTTGTCTTTTTATAGTTTTATATACTAACTTAGTCAAAAATTGTGTATTGAGTTGTGTCCTAAAGTCTCAGCTAAACTTGAATAAACTGATCTAAAGATATAACCCACATATTTTACAGTTCATTTGTGCATATTAACCTAGACATGAGAAGTATTGAGAACTATATATTCCGTGATTTTCAGTATAGATTTAGCTGCTAACTTTCTACATCATGACTGGAGCAGCTGATTTCTTGGGAGAAAATTAGAACAAAAGATGAACAGCATTTGTGTTAGGGTTTTAATTCTGTTTATTTGATGAATAAATATCTTCCAAAATGAAAATTAGTCCCCATGAAAATGAATTTAGAAACAAGACCACAAAAAAAAATTTATGTTTTTACAGTAATTTATCATTTGAAAAGTTACCTGTTATTGTCAAAAATTTCAAATCCATAGATGTCTAATACTCCAATAACTGTGTTTTTACCCACAAGTCTCATTCCACTGGCTTTTGGATCTATGGCTTCATTTATTCTCTGTACAATCCATGTAAACATTCTATCATAGGTTGCCTACAAGTACCATTTGCCTTATTATATTCAAATGTGAATATGTCAACTGTCCCTAATGGTGTTCATTCTTACATTAATTTATTGATGGTTGCTTAACGTCCAGTGTTCATTCTTATAGAAATTATTCCAATATATTACTCTCAGATTTTTTCTGACACAATTGAAGATTTTATTTTTTAAGTTTGTTCTATGAAAAATCTATTTTTCTATTGAACATTGCTTAAGGTTTATTAAGAGCTTCATGCATCCTATCTATTCTTTAAACCCTTAGTGTATAAAATAATATTGATAATTTAATAAACCTTAATAACTTTCCACAAAAAAAACTTGGATCTAGAATTGCCAACATACCTTGGCATAAGCATCTCTGGCATACATAGCTTCTGATACGGTTAAACCTTTCTCTACAACCTGTCCTCCAGCGGCTATTACACGAGAACAAAGTGCCTTCTGTAATTCATCTGGTGTCACAGATAACAGATGAGCAATATTACTAAGCAATTTTTTGTCACTAATTCCAGCCATGTCATGATCATCTACAGCCTCATAACTAGTATTTCCCTTAAAGCATAAACAGCAATTATATATTTATAGTCAGTAAGTTGGAACATCTGGTTAGATTGATACATGTATTTGTGACTGGAAGAGTTATCACACTTATGAAAAGAAAATTAGTAAGGATTCAGCAGAAACCTGTGTGTCACCTGTGATTACTGCTGTCAGTGTAAAAGTGTAATGTTCACTGCCAAAAACATAGTCCATTTATCAGTAAAATATGAAAAAAAAAATGTTTTTCTTTAAATGCTATTTTGGATCTTAAAATAGCTTCTATCTAAGTTTCAAAACATTCCATGAAGGTTTAACAAATGTCTAAAAATATTTTAACCCAAGACTGTATCTTAATGTTGAATGCAAAAAAAGCAAGTCCACTTTTTCAGTATAATATTAAAAATGAAAAATTTATTTTCAAAATTTTGCTTTGGACATAATCCCTTTATCCCAAAAAAAGATTCTGCCAAAAGTTTCATAAAATTCCATGAATGTTTAATAAAGTTAATTATGTCTAAAAATCTTGAACACCAGACTTTTATCTTAATATTAGCTGTCAAAAAAAACTTAGTCCTTTTATCAGTAAAATACGGGAAGCTTTTTTTCTAAATTTTGCTCTAATGATCTTAAAAAATCTTCTGTCCAAATTTCATAAAATTTCATAATGTTCTGACGAAATTATTGATGTTTAAAACACCTTTGACCGCAGACAGATCCTAAATGTTGCAGTCACCGCCTAGGAAATGTAGGGTAGCTATGTCTCAATATCACTACAAAATGTCACAGGCTCCACAAAAATGTTTATATACAAAAATCTTTCTTCACTTTCTTTAGGTTAAAAAAGGAGATTATTATACCATGAGGCATATTATTACATCAAAATTTTCAACATCCAATACTCCAGTAAATTTGTCTTTAAATTTAGTAAAATATGTTACTTTCATAAACCATATGATTCTTTTTTTTAAATCTTATCTATTTGCATAAATAGTTAAAAGTCAAATTCCCTACAGTACAGTAATGTCTTGTACAACTTTTTGTTTTTTCAAATTCGGTATTTCATAGCCATAAAACATATATCTTACAAGATTTAACACAGCAGATAAGATTTTCCACAAAGCTTCAGCCTGATCAAATCCAAAACCCATAGTCTTCATGGCATTCATTACAGATCTATAATCTTCCCTGTCATTTATTGTAGCACACTGAAATGTATATATATTATTCAAACATTAGTTTTACCTCTCAATACAAACATTTATAATTAGCTCTGAAATTTACTAAAAATAATCATTTAAAAAGTCTATCCTATTTATTGTTTAATAATAGCAAAAACAAAAAGACATTGTCAACCCAAAAACAAATAAATGGAGAATGTGTCTATGGGCCACAGATGTCCCTGTTTGTAAATGTGCATGAGTCAACTTCCACATACAGATGCAGGATTCACGTAGTTAAGACCATTTTGTGATTATAAGCATTGTGTATAAGTTTCATATCATTTGGTTGAGGCAAGTTAGAGAACGGAAACCAATTTTGGGGACGTACACAATGGACAGACAGGACAGACAGATGGACAAGGGTATACTTAATGCTCCCTCCGCTACGGCTGGGGCATAAAAATGTTGCCAAATTTGTTGAAAACTGGTTGCTTGTATCTTTACACAATGATAATTACTTTGATGTTCATTTAAACTTTCTTGATCATTTTTTTTTCTAATGACCAATTTGAAATTGACTAATCTAACACTTTTGATTTTGATTTTTTTTTTTTTATTGAAATCCCCATTCTCCACTAACACAATATTATCTCTGTAAACCATGAATTAATTTCACAGTTATGCTTAAAATTTGCTATAGAGTTTTTCTTTTTTTTTAAAGCAAAAATAAGATATGGTGAAACTATAACATATGGGTAGAAGTGGTGCGTTAAACATGTTAAATGATTAAATTCCCCTCGAAAAATGAGAAAAAATTCTTCAAACAATTTCATTATAGCAGGTGCACAACTTCAACATATTTGCAATCTTTCTGTGAAGTTTCAGGGATCTGGGTTGAAAACTGAAGGAGGAGTTGATTACACAGATGAGGTACCCACTTTTCCCCACCCACCCACCAACATCACCATACTATAAACCCATTTTGGACGTTTTCCAACTTGGTCAAAATATATAATAAACTGTTGACATAGATATGTCTCGCCTGTCTACATAAAATTCAGAAAAAGACAATCCGATGGACAGCAACATGGTTTATTAATTCAATCGCTGGACCATTATCTAGTGGGCAGGGCCTGAACATAATTGTCAAACTGATATGTACTGATAGGAATGCAACTTCATACACAATGTCATTGATCTATCACAAGTAGTTCAGACTGACTGAAGCAGAAAACTTAACATTGAAAATTGCTTTTTAATTCAAAGTCACTGGACCACGAACTAGGGACAGGGCCTCAAAATAGTCGTCAAACTGATAGAAATGCAACTTTATACAAAATATCATTGATCTATCACAAGTAGATCCTATCAAATTAACTTAAGCAGAAAACTTATGTCCGATGGACAGCAACATGGTTTATTAATTCAATCGCTGGACCATTATCTAGTGGGCAGGGCCTGAACATAATTGTCAAACTGATATGTACTGATAGGAATGCAACTTCATACACAATGTCATTGATCTATCACAAGTAGTTCAGACTGACTTAAGCAGAAAACTTAACATTGAAAATTGCTTTTTAATTCAAAGTCACTGGACCATGAACTAGGGGGGACAGGGCCTCAAAATAGTCGTCAAACTGATAGAAATGCAAATTTATACAAAATATCATTGATCTATCACAAGTAGATCCTATCAAATTAACTTAAGCAGAAAACTTAACATTGAAAATTGCTTATTGATTCAAAGTCACTGGACCATGCACTTGGGGATAGGGCCTTGAAATAGTCGTCAAACTGATATGTACTGATGGTAATGCAACTTTATATTAAATATCAACAAGAGTGCACACGCTGAAATGTCTCGCCTTCTTTACTAATCATTGATATTATGTTGATAGTCCTAAATATAAAGCTTTATTACAACTGTCACATAAACTTAACATTAACCAAGTAAACTAAACATTGACCAATGAACCATGAAAATGAGGTCAAGGTCAGATGAACCATGCTAGGCAGGCATGTACAGCTAACAATTCTTCCATACAACAAATATAGTTGACCTATTGCTTATAGTTTAAGAAAAACAGACGAAAACACAAAAACTTAACACTGAGCAATGAACCATGAAAATGAGGTCAAGGTCAAATAAAACCTGCGTGACTGACATATAGATCATAAAATATTTCCATACACCAAATATAGTTGAACTATTGCATATAGTATTAGAAAAAAAGACCAAAACTCAAAAACTTAACTTTGACCACTGAACCATGAAAATGAGGTCAAGGTAAGATGACACCTGCCAGCTAGACATGTACACCTTACAATCATTCCATACACCAAATATAGCTGACCTATTGCATGCAGTATTAGAAAGAAAGACCAAAACTCAAAAACTTAACTTTGACCACTGAACCATGAAAATGAGGTCAAGGTCAGATGACACCTGCCAGCTAGACATGTACACCTTACAATCATTCCATACACCAAATATAGTAGACCTATTGCATACAGTATAAGAAAAACAGACCAAAACACAAAAACTTAACTATAACCACTGAACCATGAAAATGAGGTCAAGGTCAGATGACACCTGCCAGTTGGACATGTACACCTTACAGTCCTTCCATACACTGAATATACTAGACCTATTGCTTATAGTATCTGAGATATGGACTTGACCACGAAAACTTAACCTTGTTCACTGATCCATGAAATGAGGTCGATGTCAAGTGAAAACTGTCTGACGGGCATGAGGACCTTGCAAGGTATGCACATACCAAATATAGTTATCCTATTACTTATAATAAGAGAGAATTTAACATTACAAAAAATCTGAACTTTTTTTTCAAGTAGTCACTGAACCATGAAAATGAGGTCAAGGACATTGGACATGTGACTGACGGAAACTTCGTAACATGAGGCATCCATATACAAAGTATGAAGCATCCAGGTCTTCCATCTTCTAAAATATAAAGCTTTTAAGAAGTTAGCTAACGCCGCCGTAGCCGCCGCCGCCGCCGGATCGCTATCCCTATGTCGAGCTTTCTGCAACAAAAGTCGCAGGCTCGACAAGGATCTATCACAAGTAGTTCCTATCAAACTGACTTAAGCAGAAAACTTAACAATTGTTGACCTTGTCGACGCCTGACTTGTCCCTGTCGCTGTTACCGGAAAAGCAATCGCTATGTCTCACATTCCATGACTTTTGTAACAGGCGAGACAAAAATTGTTGCTTGCAGAGTATTAAAAATTTACCTTTGGTTCACCACCTTGGTTTATGTAGAAATATTTTTTTGGATCTCTTGTTAATTTCAGTTCTGATAACTTCTGGTCATTGGCACCAAATATAAGCTGAAATAATAAAATATGAAAACATGAATCGAACATAAAATTTACACATTATTTTGTCAAGTGTCTGAAGTGCATTATATTTCCACCCCTAAAGCTTCATAACATGTTTTGCAGTATATTTCGTTTTTTTTTCCTTTGCCATACCAGCAAATAGCTTCAATGTATAAATTCTCTTTTGAAACATCTTGGCAACCCCATCAGTGCAATGCAGACAATATCTGTTCTTGGTAATAGGAATTTGATCATTTATTCTGCCTTATATGCAAAATTGATATTCTTTTGTTGATGGTTAAACTCATTATTTCTTATGTTGTTTTATGTACATTCCCTATATTTTGTTCTATAGACTGTGTTTCACAATAGATTTAATGAAATAATAAAATATCTGTGTTCCAATGTCTCCCTGCTAATGCACATGTTTCATTTGTCCAAGAGCAAAAACTCCAATATATTTTTTTAGGGTTCCTTTACACTTTCCATAAATAACCTACAAAAAAAGTAGGCATAAGATTGCTTACAATCCAATTTCTATTTCCAAGAGGTATAACACATGCAAAAATAGTTGATTATAGAAATTGTCAAAGACCTTGTTAATATAAAATCTTATGCTGATCTGACAAGATAGGTGTGAGCGTGCTTGTGTGTGTGACAATGCAATTTTCAATATAAACAAGAAATGATTGTAACAGGATGCTGTTACGAAGTCTCCCAAACGAAGCTCCCATAATTCGTAATTCCCAGGGTCGCCTGACATTGGGCTAAGTCCAGTGAAAATTGGTTTGGTCCAGTAAAGTTATATGCATTAGTGATGCCTGGGGACTAACCCTGTATATCATTCAAATCATCTTGGCATGACAAACCAGAATATATATAGTTTAGGGGTGGGGATCTCGACCATTTACAAGATATTATAACTTTCTCAAATGGCAGGGGGTCGGGATGACCCCTGAAGACTAACCCTGTATATCATTCAAACCATCTTAGCATGACAAACCAGAATATATATGGTTTAGGGGTGGGGATCTTGACCACTTACAAGATATTAGAACTTTCTTAAATGGCATGGGGTGGGGGTGACCCCTGGGGACTAACCCTGTATTTCATTTCATGTGCTTTGTCATGACAAACCAGAATATATATGGTTTAGGGGTGGGGATCTTGACCACTTACAAGATATTAGAACTTTCTTAAATGGCATAGGGTGGGGGTGACCCCTGGGGACTAACCCTGTATTTCATTTGATTTGCTTTATCATGACAAACCAGAATATATATGGTTTAGGGGTGGGGATCTTGACCATTTACAAGATATTATAACTTTCTCAAATGGCAGGGGGTTGGGATGACCCCTGGGGACTAACCCTGTATTTCATTCAAACCATCTTAGCATGACAAACCAGAATATATATGGTTTAGGGGTGGGGATCTTGACCACTTACAAGATATTAGAACTTTCTTAAATGGCATGGGGTGGGGGTGACCCCTGGGGACTAACCCTGTATTTCATTTCATGTGCTTTATCATGACAAACCAGAATATATATGGTTTAGGGGTGGGGATCTCGACCAATTACAAAATATTATAACTTTCTCAAATGGCAGGGGGTCGGGATGACCCCTGGGGACTAACCCTGTATATCATTCAAACCATCTTAGCATGACAAACCAGAATATATATGGTTTAGGGGTGGGGATCTCGATCATTTACAAGATATTAGAACTTTCTCAAATGGCAGGGGGTCGGGATGACCCCTGGGGACTAACCCTGTATATCATTCAAACCATCTTAGCATGACAAACCAGAATATATATGGTTTAGGGGTGGGGATCTTGACCACTTACAAGGTATTAGAACTTTCTTAAATGGCAGGGGGTGGGGGTGACCCCTGGGGACTAACCCTGTATTTCATTTAATGGGTTTTATCATTTAGAACATTTTCAATTAAAAAGATTGTGTCTATGACAAACGGTTTTCAATTGATAATCATTTGAAAATTTTAAAAAATAAAATCCCATAGGGTTCTATAGTAAAACCCTCTTTTCTTTTTGCCCCTCAAAATACCCCTTTGTAAACCCCATTGCACAAACAAAACCCTGATTGCACCACTAGACTTGTTAGTCTAACATATTGTGAAATCCTAAGTTAATCTGACAAGCGGTTTTGGAGAACGGGTGCGGACAAGTTCAAATTTAAAAGCGGCGGAAGAGGAAGAGGAAGAGGAAGAGGAAGAAGAATAATAATAATAATAAGAACTGAGCAAAAACAATAAGTCTTCCCAAACTTCGTTTGGGAGACTTAATAAAAGAACAGAGTTCCAATGTCCCCCGCATTATTTTATCTATCCAAGGTACAAGGGCAATAACTAAATAAAACACTTTTTTTTGTAGCGCTAACGAGGCCATTTTCCATAAATTAAATATTTCCAAAGGGTATAACTCTTTTAAAAAAAATCGATCGGCCACCATTATAGAACTTGTCTGAGATATTGCTGATATTAACCTATAGTATAAGTTTTATAAAAATCTGGCCAGAATTGTACCCGTGAGAGCGCTGACAAGGCCATTTTCCATAATTTTAATATTTCCAAGGGCATAACTCTTTACAACAAAGACGATCGGCCACCATTATAAATTTTATAAAAATCTGGCAAGAATTGTACCTGTGAGAGCGCTAACAAGACTGGATGGACGGAAGCCCCGTATTTCCATGTCCCCCGCAACCCATTACACGGGGAACAATTACATTTCTCAAATCGACATAGTAATAATTGATCAGCACAAATTTTCGAAGTTGTCCAAGAAATTACTGATATAAAATTAATTATGTTTCATAAAAATCTGATAAGAAATGTATGCTTGAGTTCACTTACAATGCAATTTTTCATATAATTTATATTTCCCCCAGGGCATAACTCCTTTATAAATAGTTGATCAAAACTAATTTTTAAACTAGTCCTAGAAATTGCTGATATAAACCTTTGATATAAATTTAAATTTCATACAAATCTGGCAAGAATTGTATGTGTAATAGAGCTTACAAGACCTGTCAGACTGATGTCTTCAGGTCTCTTTAGATTAGTAATTCTTACCTGATAAAACGAGTGAAAATTTCTCTCTCCAGTCTGTTGATGTACAACCCTTGACTGAAATAAAAATCAATAATTGACATAAAGGAGATGGTACCATAATTTTGGGTCAAATAATTCCATAAGTTAAACATGTTTCGAAATTTGTCTAGGAAGCAAAAACTAAATGTTGAAAATATGTACTTCAATAAAACATTGCTATTTTTGTTTAAAGTTTTTTTTGTTTAGGTTAGGTTCTGTGATATGAGAAGGATATAATTATATTTTGCAGTTCAATCATTACATCTAGTATTTTTAAGGATTAACATCAATTACTGATATCAAATTGTAGGACTGCATAATTCTATATCAGCAGTTAAACTACTTGAGCTTGCTTTCAATAAAGGTTGTCATTGTTTTTTTTCCCTATGGTTAAGATTAAATGGGGTTGGTTGTGATCTAAAAAGACAATTAAGCTTGAGACATTCATGTGTCTGTCTCAAGTCAGAAACCTTATCAGTAACAGTCTTACATCAAATCTTAATGTTCTTTTCTGTTGTCATTTTGGGAATGTGGTGCTGATCGCAATTGATGTTAAATTTGTCCTCCTTTATTTTAGACATAAACCAATGTAGAGTTTGTCATATATGTGCCATATCTATACAAAACACCATTCTATTGCTAAAGACTGTGTAATACATAAAAAATATGAAAGGAATAACCAAAAACAGTGCAACAGACCACAAAAGTCACTGACATTCAACTCTTCCAAAAAATAAAGATGTGCAAACAAAAATAATACATGGTCAAGATAACCTGACTTGGTACAGGCATAAAATGAGACGGGGATTTAACCACACAACTCTCTCTCTATACCTATCTAGAACATGTGTAATAAAACACACCATAAAAAAACCTGCACAATATGTAGAATAAGATATTCTTTATTGTGGGGTTGACGTATAAGTGACATACAGCCTACATCTCCTTTTATATCCAGGCCATTAAATAGCATTTCATGTATAAAATTTATTTTGAGAAATAACTGTCTTATTTAAGCCTTCTATATCAGATACTGGGACTTTTAATAACATGTTACCTTTTCTAGTAGATAATTATTAATATGTCCACCAACAGGATCACCTTTAAAATCAAAATTTATGTCCATATACTTCCCAAAACGACTGGAGTTATCATTCCTGTTAGTTCTGGCATTTCCAAATGCTTCCAATATCACATTTGACTTGATCAGAACATCTTTCACCCTGTAAAATAGCAAAGTTATTCCAGATTAAAAGAGAGATTTAATAGAAAAAGAAAGCACATAAGGTTGATGTATATGAGGAACAAGAGGCTCATGAGAGCCTGATATCGCTCACCTGGCTGTAATTTCAGTTCCAGGCATTTGACTTATTAGTAGATCTTACTTTGCTGAACAATTTTGTCATTTACACTTTCTCTCTTTCTATAATAATATTAAAGATAATACATAACCCAAAACTGTAAAATTCCTAAAAATTAACTATTTCTGGACAGTAACCCAACAATAAGTTGTCCTATTGGTCTGAAGATAGCTTGACAGGTAGATCTAAACCTGTTTAACACTTTCACCTATGTCAGTTTTGCTCTTACTGCTTTAGTTTTTGAGATGAAAGCCAAAAACTTCATTTGACCCCTATGTTCTATTTTTAGAAACTGCCGCCATGTTTTTGAATGGATCAAATCCCCGAATACAATCTATAAACTAGATTCCCTAAGGAACATTCAATTAAAGTTATTAAGTATTTGGCAAAGTAGTTTCAGGAAGAAGATTTTTGAAAAAGTAATTGGACTTTCACAAAAATGTAAAAAAAAAAAAGTTTTAAGGGCAATAACTCCTCATGGGATTGACTATTTTGATCATGTTGACTTATTTGTAGATCTTACTTAGCTGAACATTTATTGCAATTTATACTTTCTCTCTATCTATTATAATATTAAAGAAAAAAACCAAAAACAGTAAAATTTAATAAAAAAAAACTATTTCCAACAGTAACCCAACAATGGGTTGTTGAACTCGTCTGAAAATTTCATAACAGATAGATCATGACCCATTTATCACTTTAACTCTCTTTCACTTTTGATCTAACTGCTGTAGTTTTTGAGATATAAGCCAATAAACTGCTTCGCTGAACGCAGCTGGATACGCCCGCAGAGGTCCAACTCTGAACAGTTGGGGCAAAAATGGACACAATATTCAAGCTCGATACAGGTCTGAATTTGGATTGTAATTAAATATTTGATATATTATAGGTTTCTGAATAAATGTAGTCAAAGAACTTGAAATTGGTTATATGAAAGATTTCTTGCTGTTGTGAAATACACTGTGCTGTTGCGTAATACTTAGTAAATCTGTTGTCAGACTATATACAAATACTATCTTATAACTCGGAAACATAAAATAGAAAATTTTAAAAAATCAAAAGGGAGCTTACAAAAATAGAAATTAACAATTTACCAAAGTCTCATAAAAAATGCTGAAAGCAAGCATTTTTGAGTTATTGTTCAGAAAACTGGAAAATCCCCCTTTTTGTAATGAATAAAACCCCATAATTCGGAAACGTATAGTCTGAAATTTATAAAAATCAAAAGGGAGCTCATGTCGATAGAAATAAACAATTCACCAAAGTTTCTTGCAAATTGGTGAAATTGTTTTTGAGTTATTGTCTGAAAACTGGAAAATCCCCCCTTTTTTAATGAATAAAACCCCAAAACTTGGAAACGGTAAATCCGAAATTTATAAAAAACGAAAGGGAGCTCACATCAATAGATATGAACAATTCACCAAAGTTTCTTACAAATTGGTGAAATTTTTTTTAAGTTATTGTCTGAAAACTTGAAATCCCCCCTTTTTTAATGAATAAAACCCCAAAACTTGGAAACGGTAAATCCTAAATTTATAAAAAATGAAAGGGAGCTCAAGTCAATAGATATGAACAATTCACAAAAGTTTCATGCAAATTGGAGAAATCATTTTCTTTCAGTTATTGTCTGAAAACTGGAAAATCCCCCCTTTTTTAATGAATAAAACCCCAAAACTCGGAAATGGAAAATCTGAAATTTATAAAAAACGAAAGGGAGCTCACGTCAATAGATTCAAAGAATTCACTAAAGTTTCATGCATATTGGTTAAAGCCTTTTTGAATTAATGTCCGACATGTTGACGACGGACGGACAGACGGTCAATGGTATACCATAATACGTCCCGTAAACGGGCGTATAAAAAATGGTTTTGTCCCCTATGTTCTATTTTTAGCCATGGCAGCCATGTTCGTTGATGGATCAAATCCCCGAATACAATCTATAAACAAGATACCATAAGGAGCCTTCAGTTAAAGTATGGAAGTATTTGACCCAGTAGTTTCAGAGAAGAAGATTTTTGAAAAAGTAATAGACTTGCACAAAAAAATGTAAAAAATAAACATTTCAAGGGCAATAACTCCTTAAGAAGTCAATTGACTATTTTGATCATTTGACTTATTTGTAAATCTTACTTAGCTGAACATTTTTGCTATTTACACTTTCTCTCTATCTATTATAATATTAAAGATAACCAAAAACAGTAAAATTTCATAAAAATAAACTATTTTGGACAGTAACCCTATGGGTGGTCCAATTGGTCTGAAAATTTCATAGCAGATAGATCTTGACTTATTCATCACTTTTGCTCTAACTGCTATAGTTTTTAAGATAAAAGCCAAAAAATTGATCCTTATGTTCCATTTTTAGCCTTGGCTGCCATGTTTGTTAATGAATAAAAACTTCGGATAAAATTTATAAACCAGTTACCCTAAGGAACATTCAGTTAAAGTTTAGAAGTATTAGGCCCAGTAGTTTCAGAGGAGAAGATTTTTAAACGTTAGCAAACATGATGAACAAGTTGTGTAAAATTGTCCTTAAGGGCAATTACTCTGTGAGGGGTCAATTAACAATTTTAGTCATTAAACTTTTTTGTAGATCTTACTTTGCTGAACATTTTTGCTGTTTACAGTTTATCGTTATCTTCAATAATATTCAAGATAATAACCAAAAATTGCAAAATTTCCTTAAAATTACATATTTAGTGGCAGCAACCCAACAATGGGTTGTTCGATTCGTCTGTAAATTTTAAGGGTGATAGATCTTGACCTATTGAACATATTTACCCCATGTCAGATTTGCTCTAAATGCTTTAGTTTTTGAGATATAAGCCAAAAACTGCATTTGACCCCTATGTTCTATTTTTAGCCATGGTGGCCATGTTTGTTGATGGATCAAAACTTCGGATACACTTTATAAACTAGATACACTAAGGAACATTCAGTTATAGTTTGAAGGTATTTGATCCAGTAGTTTCAGAGGGGAAGATTCTTGTAAATAGTTTAGGACGACGACAGACAACGGACGCCAAGTGATGACATAAGCTCACATGGGGCCCTTCTGGCCCCGGTGAGCTAAAAAATCCTACAATAAAAAATAATATTTCAATATTATTCTGAAATACATGAAAAGTTATTCTGTTTATATTTTCCACATTTTAATTATGTAATTTTAGTGGGAAATAAAAAATCATATTTTTTGGCCTGTTGTCTTTCTTTATATGATATACGGATTTGGCATTGACAATAGATATAATCTGTAATAACTTAATCAATTTCAGTGAAACAAAATTTTGAAAAACATTCTTTGTTGCCTGCTGTCTTCCCTTGTATATGATATATGGACTTGATGATGTACAATACATATAATCTGTAATAATAATAGAAAAACGAAAAACAATCTATCAAATCATTTTCTGACTAAATCAAATTACTGGTTCTGTTTATCAGCAGACTTTAATTGGAATCAAAAGAAATACTGGTAACATTTCTGGTCTTAAGCATATACTAAAATAGAATTTATGTATATAACAGTTCACAATATGGTTATTAAAACAGAAAAACTAAAAATCAAATCATGACATCTTTAACATGTAGAAATAAACAGCTGTGCTATGAACTTATAATACAAGGATCTCTCAACAACCTTGAAAAAAGTAGTTGTTCTTTTTAGATGTAACATACTTTTTCATTAAGCTATGACTTGCAGTTGCTGGGAAAATGCAACTAAAATTTCTCAAATGTGCATCAATGTAAAGAACATTGCTAACATCCACTTCATTTGAACGAACTTTGGTGGACAGTTGTCTCATTGGCAATCATACCACATTTCCTTGTTTTTATATGCATGTAAATGTAACCAGCAAAAGTGAAGTGACAGATATGCAAATGTGTCAAACAGTATCATTTATCACTATGAGGAATTTTTTCAAAAAGATTTGTAGTTGCTGAGAAAAATGTGATGACTATTTCTTATATGTGAAAAACAAACAAGAAGAAGATAAGTATCAGATCTGAAAATGTGTCGCAACTTCACAAGGTATAGCTTAAATTGCTGATATGAAGCTTGATACCAAAAAAAGTCTGTTTTGTAATTGTTGAGAAAAATGCCAAACTGTTAGATAGCACCCTAACTCTGTTTTAGTGTGGGTTATAAAAGGTTACAGAAATAATCAAAAATATTGGACAGAACAACATACCACATCAACAACTAACAATACATTATACAGGCATAAAATGTGGTGGAATTGAACCAGTTTTACACGCCTACAAACCTCTCTCTTCTACCTAGACTGTACGTTGTAAAAGTAAAACACATAAAAAATCTGCACAATCTTAAACATATTTCTAATAAACATATCCATAACTTGTCAATATTGAAAGGGATCACATTTATCTACTCATTATGATTTTAAAATTTGCAAACCTTAAAAATTTGTAAGAAATATGGAAACGTGACATCTTTATATGATTGAGGTTCCATAACACTGGAACAAAAGGAAAGTAGAAAAAAGAAGCTTGCTGTGATTGATACCAACCATACCACTGGAACAAAAGGAAAGTAGAAAAGAAGCTTGCTGTAATTGATACCAAGATCAACTAGGAATTCTATTGAGATATGAGACTTGCAAATGTAAATGTAAAAAGGCATGGACAACAGCATAGAATCAGCATACTGTAAAATATCCCATCTATAAAGGGCACATACATTCTTGTAGGTTGTATATTTCTAAGAATGAGTTTAAAAAAAGGAAATAAACTGTTAACACAGAGATATGTCTCGCCTATTTGTTATTTGCTAAACAATCTCTATGGAAATCAGATGTGCCAATGCTAATACAACTGCATACCAAATACCATTGACTTTTCATAAGTCGTTCCCTTTAAACAAATCTAAACACAAACATTAACTTGTAAACTATGTAAAAGTTTCAAAGTCAATAAACCATAATGAGGGGGTGGGGTTATATAATTTCCATGGAAATGAAACTTGCAAATGCCAATACATTCGCATACAAAATATCATTGACTTAACATTAGTAGTTCATCTTAAACGGACCTAATCACAAACTAATACATATGTAAACTAAGCAAAAGTTTCAAAGTCAATAGACCATGACTGATGGGGCGGGGCCAAATATTCTCCATGGAAATGAGATGTGCTAATGCTTATACAACTGCATACCAATTAACATTGGCCTACCACTAACAGTCCCCCTTAAACTGAACTAATCACAAACTAATACATGAAAACTAAGCAAAAGTTTCAAAGTCAATAGACCATGACCAAGGGGGCGGGACCAAATAATCTCCATGGAAATGAGATATGCCAATGCTTATACAACTGCATACCAAATATCATTGACCTACCACTAGTGGTTCCCCATAAACTGACCTAATCACAAACTAATACATGTAAACTAAGCACAGTTTAGAAGTCAATAGACCATGACTGAGGGGGCAGGGCCAAATAATCTCCATGGTAATGAGATGTGCCAATGCTAATACAACTGCATATCAAATATCATTGACCTACCACTAGTGGTTCACCATAAACTAGAACTTATCACAAACTAATACATTGTTGACGCCGCCGCCGCAGGAAACAGCATACCTATGTCTCGCTTTTTGACTCTGTCAAAGCGAGACAAAAAAAGGAGAGAGCAAATATGAGACAAGAAAAACATTCTGTACTTGAAAAACAACAAATTGATAAATAAATTAAATGAATAAAAAAGAAAGTACATGCAATGGAATAAAAGCATCTAAACTCTTTTGTATTTTACAAGCTTAAATCTCTCAAATAGGATAAAAAGATTTGATTGTATGAATTTGTAGTGTTACATCCAAAGTGGTTGTATGCAAAAATACCCTATTGAAATAAAAGACTTACAAGATTATTTCACCATTTTATTTAAAAAAAAACAAAATCGCCATAAACAGAACATGCAAGTACAAATAGTATCTGTTCATGTTCAAGTTTACTCTTATTTATCATGACAATGGCACTTGGCAGGAGTAAGCATTCGAGAAAAAAAGAATTAAAGAAGCTGACTTGCATTTATTTTTTTGAAGATAGTTTTAATATATATGGAGACAACAAACCTCTCAATTTCTTTTGATACATTTATCCTAAATATATAATTACATTTTATCTATATATGTACACTATGTATATAAATTGTAGCAGGTGACTAGGGTCCAGATACACTGCACCTTCAAATGCAGAAACTGTCATACCAAATACATACATAAAACTTGCACTCTTTTCTATATACAAAAAATCATATAGACAACATTTATGGATAAACAGCTATAGTGTGTTTTCAATGATATTGGAGATGTATATTAAAATGACTGTAGGTTTGAAATACTTCAACATTAACGATTGATTAATTGGTGTTTAATACTATTGCGCTATTTTGTGGCAGTCAGTTTTTATTGGTGGAGGAAGAGTGTCCAGAGTATTAAAATGACTGTAGGTTTGAAATATTTCAACATTAACAAAATTATGATATTGATTGTGTATATCTACATCCTGTAAACCAATTAATTTTTAGGAATTTTGTGAATAGATAAATAACATGAACATAATCATCTTGAGCTTGTCAAACTTGGATGTACTATCATATCAATACACACAAATGACTCACTATGAAATAGGCTAGACAGGATTAAACGGAAAGAGTATTCAAGAAAATAAGTTGGTTTAGTTTCCAAATAATCAATGAAATTTTATAAATGAATGCTTGCAAGTTGCAATATATACAAGTATAAATTCCACTGGTTGGATATTAATTCAGTGTTGTTTTTCAGTAATAGTCTAATGGATGTTGGGGTATGAAACTGAAATTTTTTTAAGCATGTTGAGAAAAGCACACTTCTCATACTGCTCTAGTTTACATGCCTTATTTTGTTAACACTAAAGCATCACTAACCTTTCAACTTCTTTCTGGCCACCAACATTGGTCACAGCAGCTATATATCTCATTATTATCTTGGATGCTTCTGTTTTACCTGAACCACTTTCACCTGAAAAATATACAATAATTTGAATAATTTGAATAAAAAATCTCTTTTCCAGTATATAATTATATCACTAACCAGCAGTTGGTAGTTTTAAAATTTATTTTGTCCAACATGTTTATTTAGATCTATAAATTTACTCCCATTTTTTTTCAGTTTTAAGGTTTGATTGCGCAATACAAATCATATTTGCTGATGCAAGGGATGAAATATTTATTGATTTTGAAATATCACATTCAACTATGCACTTAGCATCTTCCCTTACCTCAAGTTCAAAAATGCTCATTTTGGTTTAAAATATAAACAAGCAATTCCTCTGCAGGTTTTTGTTTTAGCATGAATGACAAATTTTATTTGATAGATTGTTAATGTTTACAAATAGCCAGTTACGGGTATATGTCCATCAATACTGTCTAAATGACTTCTTTTCACAAAATGTTTAAGTGTTCATGTTTTGACCAGGTTTTACAACAAAGCTCTAAGATAAGCAGCATATACCAATTTTGAGGTTTTTGGTTTGAGCTGAATGGGATACTCATCCCAATGCAAGGGAGATGTGCTACCATGAGACCACTAAGACAAAAGCTATAAACATTTTTTAAAAAGACAAATTCAGATAAGTAAAACAGTCTGATTTGCTTATTACAAGTTTTGTATCTTCATACCTGATATTACAATACATGTATCTCTACTTTTTCTTTTCATCGTTTTATATGCACTGTCAGCGAGAGCAAATATATGTGGTGGCCTCTCGTAAATTTCCCTTCCTTTGTACTCATCAACATAGTTCTTGTTGTATATATCCACAGGTTTGTAAGGATTGACAGACACAACCACCTCTCCAATGTATGTATATAATCTGTTCTTCTCATATCTATAAAACAGAAAGCAAGTAAAACTTAAAATATTTAACTCAATTATAAGTGTGAGTTGGTTTTTTTTTTTAAACACTCTGTCATTGTTTATTTTTATCACTGTCCAAGGCCCGTAAGTTAAACAGAATTATACTTTACTACTGTGAATAACACTGGTTGAAAAAGTAGTCTTGACCTACTTCTATATTGCTACATGCATGTAAGCCATTAAGAAACATCATCCATATAAATGTCAATACATGTATTATTACATATTGACAAGTATTAAAAGTAAATAAATGGTAAATGTGTCTATGGGGCCACAGATGCCCCCACTTGTGAATATGCATGAGTCAACTTCCACATACAGATGCAGGATTCATGTAGTTAAGACTGTTTTGAGATTATAAGCATTGTGTACAAGTTTCATAACAATTGGTTGAGGCAAACTAAAGTTAGAGAACGGAAACCAATTTTGGAGATGTATGTGACGGACGGGACAGACAGATAAGGGTAACACTTCACGCCCCCTCAGCTACAGCTGGGGCATAAAAGCACTATTTTACCGATTTAAAGTTTTGATGCGCAGGTATATTTATGAATTTCAACTTCACAAAATTTATATCTCATAAGTACCTGACAAAGGTAAGAAGGAAATTTGTGACAAGCTGTTACCAATTCAACACTGTAATTAGATCTTTGAATATTGTTTTATTGGTATATTTATTGATTTTGTTATCAGTAAATTAAAATCATACTAAATAGTTTTGTTATACACATATGCACTTTAAAGGTACTACAATCTGTCAATACCTTTATTTTGGCATTGCACAAGGTGATGTTTTTCTCTGACTGTTAACAAGACGTCTTTACACTAAATCAATTGGATGTTGGATGTGTACTGATTGATATTTAAGTCTTAGATACATGATTTTTTGTATTAGTTGTTATTGGCTTTGAACCAGCTGTCAGTAACTGTGAGTACTCTCAGATCTGTACTTGTGTCCTTTATGTTGTTAGGGATGAGGGATGGATAAATACCCTGCCACGTCCGGTCTGTGTTTATGTTTGAATTTGTTTTTATGCTTTGTATCGATCTGATGAGATAAGCTTTTTTCAACTATAACCAGTCTTGGTTTATGTTTGATGTTTTTATGCTTTGTATCGATCTGATGAGTTAAGCCTTTTCAACTGATTTTTATAGTTTGTTCTTTTGTGGTGCTGGTACAACACTGTCCCAGGTTAGGGGAGGGTTGAGCGCTCAGAAACATGTTTAACCCCGCCACATTCTTTATGTGCTTGTCCCAAGTCAGGAGCCTGTAGTTCAGTGGTTGTCGGTGGTTCATGTCTGTCATATTTGTTTTTCATAAATTGTTTTGTTATAAATTAGGCCATTAGTTCTCTCAATTGAATTGTTTTATATTTTTCATGTCAGGGCCTTTTTTAGCCGACTATATGGCATGGGTTTTTCTCATTGTTGAAGGCCGTATGGTTGCCTATGTTTGCTTACATCCACTTAATTTGAACTTTGGTGGATAGTTGTCTCATTGGCAATCATACCTCATCTCCTTATTTTTATATTTACTGAAAATGTAACATACATTTATATAACAACTAAAAAGAATGAGACGTCAAAGAATTATTGGTTGATAGTAGACCTAATACATTCATGCTAGATATTTAGTTATCAGCAGCAGGACACATAAAAATCAACCTGTTAACCTGAAAAGAAATTCTCCCATCCCTAAATATGATGCAAATCTTTTTACTAGAAATGGACAAAACCCATTTTGTAATTGTGTCTGTATTTCTAAGTAGGCTTATAATAATTTTGACTATTCTGTGATCTACTTGTGAAGTGTAGATACTGTACTGTACACCAACAAATAGTCAAACAAACAGCTGAATTATAGATACTGTACTGTACACCAACAAATAGTCCTACAAACAGCTGAATTATAGATACTGTACTGTACACCAACAAATAGTCCTACAAACAGCTGAATTATAGATACTGTACTGTACACCAACAAATAGTCCTACAAACAGCTGAATTATAGATACTGTACTGTACACCAACAAATATCAAACAAACAGCTGAATTATAGATACTGTACTGTACACCAACAAATAGTCCTACAAACAGCTGAATTATAGATACTGTACTGTACACCAACAAATAGTCCTACAAACAGCTGACTTGTAGATACTGTACTGTACACCAACAAATAGTCCTACAAACAGCTGACTTATAGATACTGTACTGTACACCAACAAATAGTCCTACAAACAGCTGACTTATAGATACTGTACTGTACACCAACAAATAGTCCTACAAACAGCTGAATTATAGATACTGTACTGTACACCAACAAATAGTCCTACAAACAGCTGAATTATAGTTTAATGATAAATTATCTACAAAATCAAATCCTTTTAATTTTGTTTTTATAGAGTAATTTGTAAATGCTGTATACTTTGTTAATCTACTGTTTACATTGGGTATGACACATTAGGTGTATCAGCAAACTTGCTGATAAGATTTCTTTCAATTTCAAGTACATATATGTACTGAAACTATAGTTTAAAGCTCTTTTTAAATAGTTGGAATAACTTGACCTTGTAAATTTGTCATGTAGATCTAATTATGGTAATGACATCCTATACTTCCTACCTGATACTAAAAGGTGTATGTCTATCAATACCTAGTTTTAATTACAGGTAAAACCCAGTTAGTCAACATTATATATCAGGTATATCACCTGATCAAAACATAAATCTTAATATTTAGGGAGAGGGGGGAACATCTCAGGAATGTGGAACTTATGTTACAATGTTCTTCATATTGTCTTCAATATGTATTTATATATTTCTAGGATTCAAACTTTTAACATGTATATCATATATATATATGCAAATCTTGTTTTAATCATTATTGATATATCCTTCCTTTTCATTTCCTATTTCTTTGATGTACCTTAACTATTTTCATCAAATACATACATATATACCTACTGCAAAATATACTGTACACTTTCATCAATTAACATTACAAATTTGACGACTACATTTTCATAAAATAAGGAATTATTTTTTTGCAATTTTTATGCCCCACCTACAATAGTAGTAGGGGCATTATGATTTCTGGTCTGTGTGTCCGTTCGTTCGTCTGTCTGTCCCACTTCAGGTTAAAGTTCTTGGTCAAGGTAGTTTTTGATGAAGTTGAAGTCCAATCAACTTGAAACTTAATACACATGTTCCCTATGCTATGATCTTTTTAATTTTAATGCCAAATAAGTGTTTTGACCTCAATCTCACGGTCCACTGAACATAGAAAATGATAGTGTGAGTGGGGTATCCGTGTACTATGGACACATTCTTGTTTAAACCTACATTTACATATTTATAGTTTACATGTATAAATATGATACAAGGTTTAAAAAAGTACATTATTTCCTTTATACATGTATACACAAAAATGTCAATTTAGTTTAAATGCTAAACTTGACATCAAACTTATGACAAATGTAGTTCATTAACAAAGATAGCCAGGCTCCTAATACTTTAAAAGAATTGGTGGATAGTTTCTGGTGCTTTTCTATCTTTTTTCTGCTTATAGTTTTGTTTGTCACTATTTTATCTGTCCCCCCTTTTCTCCTTAGCAATTCATTTCTTATAAGAATGCATTTGAACTGTTAAACTTGCTTATCTAAGAACACTTTTTCAGTTTAATCAAAAAACTTAAAAAGCATAAAACAGAGACTTCAACTTTGTAACTACATGTTTTTACACTTACATTTTTCTTAGGCTTTTCAGAATTATGTGGGCGAGGGCAGTAGAGACATCTAAGGTTTCACCTGAAGTATATTGGAGAGGAACTTTCCAACTAATTTATACATGATTTTGAAGCTAATGACTATAATTCTTCTACTTTAATGCATCAACACAATCGACACAATCAGTGAAATTTCCTTAGTGAAAAACAACCACTGGTCTACACTGGATCAAAACAAGTGTTGTAATAATAGTGAATTTATGATTGTTTTCTAACCCTTCTATTGCCATTTTTAAATCATTTTGATTATCAAGATTATTCTGTTTTTCTTATATCAAAATCGGCACATTAGTGATATTTTAAGACAGTTGTGAACCTTGGTAATACAAATGACACTTTCAAACTGTAAAGAAAAAATATCAACAAAGGTGTTTTACAACTATATTCTATTTACTTAGTATACAGTACAAAATTGTAATAACCTTGTATATTCAGTCTGCTGTCTACCACCCACAAGATATCGTTAAAGAAAGCCCCTCAATTGAATGAATCCAACAAAGTTTAGTATTATCTAAGAACTGTAGCTTCAAAGCAGGTTTTTTTTTATAATTTTAAAGTTCAAAGATCACAACTAAAGATAAAAAATCTTGAGGCCAAGATTCTTTGCTGTAACTATTTGCACTGTCTCAATACTTTCTGTTAAATTAATCAAAGGCAGGGCTTATATCTTATTTTATCTTTTATAAATTTGAGTATGTGTGGGTGACTAATAGAAGTACATTGTAGTATTTTTGTAAATGCAAATTCTAGTCATAAAAATTAAATACACCCTCATATGTCAAGTATTTTACCCTTAAAAGTACATGTGTATATAATATATCATCATCTAATGAAATTCAAGAAATGTGAATACAATATGTAATACATAACAACTGTTAAATGAAGCTGAATTTTATAAATAGGGCAAACCAATAAATGTCAGATCTAGCATCTTTAATGGTTAATCAAAATTTAAATTACAAACAGCCAGGTAGATCTTCTGATAAAGTACAATCAGAGTTCACACAACTGAAAAATTTCCATAAAATTCATGGCATCTAGAGATTTATAGCCAAACAAATTTAAATTTCAAAAAGTACCTCCAAACAATGATCTGCCCTATTAACCATTATTTCCTGCATATCTTGATCTGCCCTGGAGGAGTCATCAAAATATTTGTATTGTGTCTGTATTTGACAGTCAGAT